CTTTAAGAAATTGAAGCCATATGTCCATTCTTTGAATAAGTGACTCATTTACAGAAAATCTCAATTGTAGGTCTGGCAAGGAAATTTTCTAGACTTAGTCATTTATTAATGTAATTTTAGAATTTGAGAATTACTTGTCATCTTGTCCCTTTAAGATATAAAATGTGTTTTTAATTGAATGGTTGTTTGTCTGTAAGTAAAGAGAGAAAGGGGTTTTGTTGTTTTTTGATGTTTATAAGATTGTTAGATTAAGTTGACATGACGATAATACTATACACTAGGGGAAACTAACCCACACACTTGCTTTAAAGATACTCACCACCGTCTTCCTGGCATTTTAAAAAGTTTCATAAATACGTTATTTCACTTGGCTATTTATGAATTTGATGTGTTGTTTTGTTTTCTTTGTTAACGTTTGATTTGCTGTGTAATATAAAATGTCAAAGTGCCATTAAACAGCACCTTGTTAATCTTTTAATATATAATTAGCTATGGGACCTCTCATCTTTCATAATGAAGCAGTCTTCTTTGTGTTTCAATAATCCCAAAGTTGACAAAACTTGGACTATTCATTGCTTTTATCTCTGACATTACAAATTGAATATGCTGCTGCTACCTGGACAGAATTTTTACTTTGCAATCTATGGACTTATATGGTAAACTACCGTTTTATGTATTTTAAAATGTTTGTTTTATTAACTTTGTCTTATAATATGTAAAGATCAAAAGTCAGCATTTTTGCCCAAATGTTACCAACGCAAATGTACAAAAATAACAGAAATTGTAAGTGTTACAGACTTACAGTAGGGTTATTTTCAGTCAACGTCTGACTATTGAACGATGTGTACTATAATGTTATTATTTCAACTAAATAATATAAGATCAAAAGGTCATATTTCCAAAAGAAAATAACAGCAGAATGCATTTAGAAAATTGTAATGCATTGATTCTACAATATATCATGCCAGCACTAAAATCCTGGTCTTAACTATTGCTCCATATATCTATTGGTAGTGACATATGTCATGCAGGGTATGCTTATAGTTCTCATTGTTGATGTGTTTTGTATTTGAAGATAATAGTTATTGACAGATTGATATTTATCTACATCAATGTGTTATGAGCATACAGTGTGTTATGAGGGAAATTTTGCCCGGAGAGTGACACCGCGACCTACTCTTATTTCGAATTCCAACTGTCTTGAGTTCTATCACGTGCACGCCAATATGTACACGGGACCTCGTTTTTTTGCCCACCAAGATTGAACACAGGACTACCAGGTTAGCAAGCCAACGTCTTACTCACTGAGCCACTGGGGTTCCCCTTTCATTATAAAATACTGGTGTGTATAGTTGGAGTATCTTTAAGAATGTTGAGAGTTATATGATACAGTGAGTCTTCTATAGGTGTGAACCCATGCTGGTTTTGATTCACATAAACAATATGAAAATATCTGCTTGATACAACCTGCAATCCCCTTAGGTCATCTCTTAATACATGTAAAGACTAGATTACCAAGTCTCTTTGTTAATAGATTAGTTTATCAAGAGACGTTTTTAAAACCTGTATGATCTTTATCTTCAAAGCTTGAAGTGAGAGTATCCCCTGAAGATGTATATAGGAAATTGAATATAGAGTGCTGTCTGACAGCTTATTACAGATACAACAACCCATTTCATCAAATTCTGACAAGTATTATTAGTTCCGAATTTTATCTGTCAGATGTTTTGCTTTATAACTCTGTATTATAGATTTTTAAGACTACAAAGTCAGTTTGTCTTGGTAAACCCACAAGAAATCAAACACAATCGATCCTATTCAGTGGTGTGTACAAAGTCAAGTGACTGAATTTGGCAAGATCGAGTAACAGTATCAAGTGGGCTCACCCCATAAGAAAAATCCCATAATGGAAATTGGTACCAGGTGTTTATGAAAGGGTTTAAGCATGCACTGCCTCATGTACTACACTCACCACTATTGTTGTGCTAAATGGAAAGCTGAATTTGATAAAAAGTAAACATGGGATTGTATTCTGTAATAACTCATTAATTTTTTGTGGACTTTTAGGTACATATTTTTCAAGTAGATGGTGCATCTGTTAAACATGCATTGTTCAAGAGCTAAATCTGTCTATTGCAGTTCTTTCTTCAGGCCTTAAATGTTATATAAATTTTTAATTAGACCTTAATTAATTTACCAAGACCATAATCAACTCTTGATGCCATCAGATGCCCCAGATATTTAATGGATTTAAATATGTTTTGCAATAACCCTAGAAATGGATAATCGAGGCTTTGTTTATTATCGTAACAAAATGATAGTAATGACAATCGAGGCTAGACAAAAATTGTATCACCAATAGCTTGGCTCAGAGTGAAGTAATTTGACTGAAATTTTCAGCATATTATTCTCTTTTCATTATCTATTTTTATACGCCCACATTTAAATGTGGTTGTATATTGTCGTCGCCCCCTGTCCGTCCGTCCTGCAGTCCGGCATCCACAATTGCTTGTGGACGCTCTAGAGGCTAAAGTTAATATCTGATTGACTTTAAATATATACACAGTGTTTAAGGTCTTGAGATGAAGAAGCCTATTGATTTTCAGCGATTTCCGATAATTACTGCCAGAGTTATTGTCCTTGATCACTTCAAAAAATCTTGTGTACACTCTAGAGGCCAAAGTTAATATCCGATTGATCTTAAATTTATACACAGTGTTTAAGGTCATGAGACGAAGAAGCCTATAGATTTTCAGCGATTTCCGATAATTACTGCCAGAGTTATGGCCCTTGATCACTTCAAAAAATCTTGTGGACGCTCTGGAGGCCAAAGTTAATATCCGATTGACTTTAAATTCATACACAGTGTTTAAGGTCATGCGACGAAGAAGCCTATTGATTTTTAGCAATTTCCGATAATTACTGCCAGAGTTATGGCCCTTGATCACTTTGAAAAATCTTGTGGACGCTCTAGAGGTCACAGTTAATATCCGATTGACTTTAAATTTATACACAGTGTTTAAGGTCATGAGACGAAGAAGCCTATTGATTTTCAGCGATTTCCGATAATTACTGCTAGAGTTATGGCCCTTGATCACTTTAAAAAATCTTGTGGATGCTCAAGAGGCCAAAGTTAATATCCGATTGACTTTAGATTTATAATCAGATTTTAGTTTATTATAAATGTTTCATTACCGAAAATTAAAAATATGTGACAACTCTTGTTGACTGCCCGGACGATTTAGCTGCTGTGGGCGTATGTTTCGTTGCCTGGCAACCTATCTTTTAACTATTATAGCGAGAACTGTCAGCTCTTTATCTAATCTTAACTAATGCTGCTTATATATATAGAGAGAGATAATGATTACAGCTAATGATACCCTTAATTAAAGAATGCATTAATGACATCAATATTATCAAATCCTTCAATATGGAGTCCCCCAAATTGACTAATGGCAATGTTTGGTTTTTTTTCAAAATTAACTATTAGTTTTATTTCTACTATTTCTAATTGATGATAGCGAGGTCTGGTTGCATGATCTTTAAATTTACTGTGGTGTTTAATGGAGGTGTCAAAAAAGTTTTAAAAATTATGCTTGGAATTTAAACCAGTTGATATTTTGTTATATATTTAGTAAAATAGAAGAAATGGTTGATAAATTTAGTATCTATACATTTGTTAATAATTAAAGTGAGACCACTATATAGGTATAGATAAGGTAAAACCTGTTTGATATAGTATACAGGATGACAGGTGAATAACTTTCTATAATAACAGATGCTCTCTTTGTCTCATATAGTTCATTTGGTGCTACAATTTATCACCCAATAATACATTACACAGGTGGTATTATATCGCATGTTTGGTTAATATGTTGTGATAAGAGATATTACTGCTGCTATCTACTTTCAGAAAGTTCCCCCGATTTCATTATTTGGGGATGTTCAATTTTTTTTAAAACCAGATCTTTCATATCAAAAATTCTTCATGACGAAAAAGATGACAAAATTATTATCACGCTTAAATCGATAGACACCAATATAAAATTTAAATAGACGTAACTTCAGCTTACAATTATATTCTAACCGTTTTGCTTCAGCTTTAAATTTAACCTTTATTCTGGCATGTTCTGTCATGTTGATCCTATTAAGGAAGGGTGGTGGTTACTAAATACATCAGTGATAGATGCTCATTTCTTAATTTTTACAGTCTGATAAAATTTGTCATTAAAGGAGCTAAACCTCTAACTCAATATTAGCCATGATATTCGAAATGAAAAACACGAATTAGAATTCAATATTGGTCCATTTCAATCAATATTGATGTTATTTATCTTACTGTGAAAATATAACATCCTAATATCCAATATCTAAGACATTATTTTAAAATCAGTACATGACTTGTGTACTCTATGAATATATTGGTTTCGAGGGCTATTTGTAATGAACCAAGAAAAACATATCCCAGAAAGTAATTAAAAATTGCTGATTCACAACCGACAAAATAAAAATTAAAAATAATAATTGATTAGAAATTACAATAAATTTTAAAATTTGAATGAAAAACACTTTATATACACTCAAATTACATTAATGTGTGCTTTTTGACCCATTTTTCTCTATTTGAACATTTTAAAAAATGGAGCTATATGCCCTTTAATTAGATTATAATAGATAACTGTATTATAATTAATAACAAATTGTACTTTTATTTGGTATCATTCTGGTGTGTTACTCAGTATAATAAACGGTACCTTAATCAAGTTGACTAACAATTAATATCAAACTGATTTGATTGGATTGATGAGAAAATTTTGCATTGGCTTACTAAATGAATCAAACATTTAGTGTGGAGATTGCAACTATACGAAGAAGTTACTCTTACGATTGTGATGTTAGATCACGATATTTGTTGCCAATTTTCTATGGATGTAGTAATTATTTTGAATTAAGATATTATATTTATTATTTAAAATGATATAATTTGTTTTATATTTCAGATACTACAACTTCCTCTATACACATCAACTTCCACCTGAAGTAATAGACACTGTCGACCAGTCCAATAATTGTCATGATATTCTCTTTAATTTCCTAGTCAGTCATGTGACCAAGCTTGCACCAATCAAAGTTACTCAACGTAAAGTTTACCAAGAATCTGCATTAACAAATGTTAATTTGAATGCTAGTAAGCCATTGTCATGGTTACAGCAGCATCATTTTACACAGCGTGAACAGTGTATGAACACATTTACCCAGCATTTTGGCACCATGCCGTTAATTCGATCAAAGACTCGAATGGACCCACTCTTATTCAAAGATCCTGTTTCAAATATGAGAAAAAAATATCGACAGATAGAAACTGTCTGATAGCTTTAAATTTTTAAAAAAGGTCTGGCCATACCACAAGTTGTAAATAGATAGTGATTGAATTTGAATGTAATATCACATGTGATTTGATAGATTTTGTGACTTTTCAGCCAGAAGAATACAAAATGTGGAACCGGTTTATAATCTCAGTGCTGATTTGCTGATATATATAAGTCATCATCTTAATTCTTATACTACTTCTGATTGGCTGGTTTATTGGTTGTGTTTTTGTATAAATGTTGTTTATATTGACCAATCAGAATTCCATGGAAACATTTTCAAATATTTTATTAACCAATCGAAAAGCATAAAATTTATTTTTAAAAAAGAAAACCTGTAGTCATCGTCTATTCATCATTTCAGTTTTATTTAGCTTGTATTTTCCTGCTTTTTTTGTTTATTCAATAGTAAATTCATACAGCTACAAATTGAATCAAAATGCACTAATAAGAAAACTAATTGTCTATTAGACAGTCAAATTATATGCTGTTGTTATATTAGATTTAGATATTTATTTGTTAAATCTTTTGTCTAATATTTTTCTCTTTCTTCAAGGTATATTGTCTTTTAGATGTATAACCACTTCACTGATTAAGATACAGTCTTGAATTTGGAGCCGGGATATCTAATTTTAGTATGTTATAAAACTAAAAATTATTTCACTATCAAAGTGTTGTTTCCATATTTGTGAACATTGTATGTCATGATCTTAAATAAGTTTAATCAAAAGGGCACCCATTTTGTTGAAAGTGCATGGTTTGATTTTCATGCATATTACAATTAAAGGACAATATACCTTTTAAATAGGGTGCGGTTAATTTTATTTAGTTGTATGATCAAAAGAGTGATTTCCCTTGCAATTTCAGATGCAAAATTTCAATTAACTATAGCACAAATAGTAAATCAAAATAATCTTAACTGTATATTCATGTTATTTATTCTTGCAGTAGGGCTAGTTATATCTATTTTATATAAATTAAGTTTATCTCTGCTGTAGGAAACAGTTATGTTATTCTCTGTATAAACGGTTTTCAACAAATGAGAAGATTATATAATTTTTATTTATAAATACTGTATATTTTGATCGTTGTCTAGTATTAAAGTAATTTCAACCATTGTCATTTTGAAGTACTGTGTGCTATAACCTGCTGCTCTTTCTTAATTATATGCAAGAAAGAAGTTTGAAGTCATATTGGCAATTCAGGCTGAGCAATGTTGAAACTATTTTAATGCCAGATATGAATAAAATATAAAGAATCCAGAATCTCTGTAACAGCTTGAGTTCTTCTTTAATGACTAAATTTCCAACAGTAAGTTTATTAAATGTACAAAGTTTGCTGAAGTACAATACAAAATTTGCAGGAATGAAATGGGGTTTAACATCCTACTTTTAAAATTTACAGAGGTTGATAAATGTTGAATAAGGAGTTGACTTTATAATATCAAAAGGTCTTTTAAATTATTATGTATTAGATACTTTTATGTTTATTAAAGTTTACTAGAAAACAGAAGATACCATGTTGGGTAAATTAATATATTTTACAGATACCATGACAAACACTAGCTGCGATGAAAGAATCAACTTGATGATGTTCAAATTTAAATACGACACAATTTTTCTATAGATTTACAAATTGGACAGTAAAGTAAGAAAATATTTTGGTAAAAATTAATTTCTCGATTCATATATGTTAGATTTTGGTTGACTTCTGTAATTTGTACTTTATCAGCATAGATTTGATATAAACAGTTATCTCCTCCTGACATTATTCAAGAGGAATTTTAAATTAAAGTTAATAGTCCATAAGATGATTCAAATAAAATTTAAGTTAAAGTGCACATAAGATGGGCTTGGAAAATTTTGGATATGTGTAGCCAATGGTTACAATATCAACTTTACGGCAAGTTCACACCAATCTCATTGAAATTAATTCAGTTATCTTCACTCAAAGTCGTAAAAATGGACCTCCCGTAAAAACGACTTTGCCAATTATCGAAAACACTCTTAATCCCCTCAGACGCCAGTGACGTCACAGTGACCGAATGCATATTCGAAATGTTTATTCCTTAATTACCTATATACAGCCGGCATGTGTACTCATTAACGCCCGACTGGTTCCTTAATCCCCCTTAGTTCCTTAAATATATAAAACAATTGACTACGGAATAATTTGTTTTGTAATTCATTTTAATTTAAGATTCAATTTAGAATTTGTTTCTCATGACAGCAATTTTAATACCCTCTAACATCGTGTGCAGTCCAATTGATTAGAAATACATTTTCATCAAAAGAGTATTGTGGTTCTAATTTCCCTGAGTAAAAAAGTACAGGGGTAAAAAATGTGGTCACGCAAATTGTATCATAAAAGTCAAACATGAATAAAAAGCGATTTGTAAATGACGATCCGTTATCGTCGTACAGCGGATTTGACTTCATTACTCTGAAATAGATCGTAAAAATGAAATGCGAAAAAATATCTCAATATACAGTACAAATAAATTTTGTTGGTAACCATCTAAATGGAATAACAGACAGATTGAGAAGTGTCATCTAACTATCTTTGTGTATTGATAATAATATGACAAGTAGTGTCGTTAATATCTGTCATTAATTAATCAATGCGACTAAACTTATACAGACTTGGGGGTCATTAATTAATTTACATCTCGGTGTTAGCAGTGATTGTTAGTGGCATTAAGAATGCTGATTAGGTAATTATCTTTTTTACGCCGGCCAGATCAAAGGCATCACTCTAGGTGGAACGTGTGCGTAGTACCTACAAATGAACTAATGGTAGAATCGTACAGACACATATTTATTGTATAAAATAATTAAATTTTACTCATCAGTTGTTTATAATTGTTATTTAATTTTTGTGTTTGTGTAATCAAGTAGCATCACATTATTTGTTGACTGGCGTTGATATGAAATATTCTTTATAATAAAAGTATTTTACAATTGCATTGGCAGTTTAATCACTCACCAAATGGCATCAGGAACTCCACGTATTTAATATGCATGTCCATGAATCCCATGGAATTTTCGCACCAAAGTTTAACCTCAGTAACTACGCCCGTAGTGCATGGAACCGTACATGGCAATAAGATTCCCAACGTTGATTGGCTGAGAAATGAGGGCGATCTATGCATGCTTTCTTATCGGAAAATTCCATATTCGCTGTGAATTTCAAATTGAGTTACGATACAAGTTGTTCTTTGTGTATAGAAATGGTTATTATTATTATGTATAGCTAATAATGAATATAATCGACAATTGACTGGCATCATTTGTATTTCTATACTTAAGTTTGGGATATCCGCAAGTATTACGGGGTTATCCAAATTACCGGTAAATGCGCTAATTGCTTGAGTCATCTTCATTTGACACGTGGCCTATTTAAACAAAGGCAGCTTAAATTGATCTACGGCATGATACGGCATTTTAAATTCACTCTAAAATATTCCAATCACAAATGTCTAATCTATACCAATGAAAGACGATAATTCGGTGATTATGATTAGGCCAGTCACGTGGTAATTGGACCGTCAATAGACGCTTGTCCAGTTGCCGTGTGTATTGATAGTGCTATATTGTACAGACAGTGAGATATTGTATAGATAATGTATATCCTATGTGTAGTGCCTGTGACGTCACCAGCCAATCAACCGGATTAAGGTCGTAATTGAAAAATCGAAAAGCATTTTGGCGTGTCGGATACTTAAACGTTAACAGCGGACTTAATTTTAATCAGATTGGTGTGAACTTGCCGTAAAGTTGATATAGTAACCATGGGCTATACGTACATTAAATTTAGATTTTTGATCTTACGTGGTCTTTAATAGTCCATAAGATGATTCAAATAAAACAAAAATGAATTGGACTGAAAGACATCTGAATCAGAGGATGACTTTTCTTAATAATTTACTGGTAAGCTATAGGGGGGGATAACTTCTATACAGATAACTGTATAGCACTACCTAGAACGAAGGTTGTATCATTGCCAAATATATACAATTTATAAAATATTCATTAGTTTCTCATTTACATATTTTTTATTCATGAGAATTCTAATTCATTTAGTTTCCATTTAATCTTACAATTAAGTAACCTGTTTCTATGAATGAAAACTTTTTGTGTGACCAGTTTTCAATAATTAAAACTTGAGATTTGATGAAAAAAAAATAACAAACATTTGCATTTCTTGATTATATGTTATCAATTTAATGTCAAGAATGATAATTTTAACAACTTAAACTGTAACATAGCTAAAGCAAGGTACAAAAAGTCGCAAGCATTCCCGGTAGTAAAATGCTAGTTATGCAACTTGACCTGATGTTGTGAATTTTAAAGGGAGAGTATGAGTAGAAGTGCCCTTTTTTACCAATAATTCGGGATATATTAATTAATTAAATATTTAATAGCACTCAATGTTTCTATTACCGGTAATGGTTATTATACTTGGTGATGTTGCCTAGAACAAAATTAAAAAGCACAATTTTCTGTTTATACTCTTCCTTTACTTTAAACCTAAACTTTTCTTTTATAGATCTCATTTCAATAGGGCTTTTCTGTAATGCCAATAAGGACTCGATTTGTCTTTACTCACATTGACAATATTGATGTTTTTTCAAATAAAAATATGCTTCATTTTCCTATTGTATAATTTTTTGGATTTTATGAATTGAGAAAGAGAAATTAGATAAAAACAAAGATTTTTTAAAGAAAAAAAAACAAATCATTATCATGCATAGTATATCTACTTTTATTTGATATTTTATTATTATAGCCTCTTGTTATCAGGTCTTTGTGCTAAATATATTAGTTTGATAGTGCGGAAGGAGGGGTTAGAAGCTTTAACCGAAAAAAGTTTTAATTGTTGAACTTTAATAGAAATCCAGTCTGTTACTCCAAATATTTTATAATTGTGCAAATTTATTTATACCAAATAATCAAGATTACAGATGCTTTTGTAATTAGTATATACAAAAAGACCTGATTCAAGAGGCTATTACTATGCTTCTTATTATATATGTGTATATTACAAGTCATTCTAAGGTTGCTTTTATACTATGATATTTATACTTCATACTGGATGATTGAGACTGAGAGCTATGAATGAATGAATGAGTTTTGTAAATTGAAAGAAGTTTTTTTTAAATAGCATGTGTGAGTCTTTACTTCATCAGCATATTATTGTCATAAATTATAAAAAATGTGTAATATTGACCTTTTGACCCTGTCTCACAAATTATTCTAATTAAGAGTTTCAAACCTCACATAACAATGAATGTTTTACATAGAGATAAAATTGCCTTAGCTTGGAAGTTAAAAACCCCCAAAGAAATGTTTTTTATTGTGGAAGCTGAAACAGACTATAACCTTAAATCATTGTCAGAACTAATTGTTGTATTCTGGTTAAAAAAATCAACAAAATGTAATTTACACAATAACAGTCTTTATCTAAAAATGTAAACAATTCTCTTTGTTTTAAAAAAAATATATTATGTTCAAGATCTTCCATAGTTTTTGTCAATGTTTACACTTTAAATTAGATAAGAGTTGTTCAACAGGGTCGTCACCATAACAACTGATGAATCTTTATATGTCTATGTTTCAATGTACAAATAAATGTTTTTGTGTTAAATTGTTCTGTAAACAATAATTCAGTGTTCTGTGGATTTATCAATTTTTTTTTGTGAATGATGTACAATGTTGAACTTTGTATGATATATTATGTAATATATAAACCTGCTTTTCTATATTGTATTGGACAAGGAATACAATACCTATTAACTGACATGAACTCACTTTTAAGAAATAAACAGGAATAAATTGTATTATTAAATTTTGGGAGGTTGAGTGGCTAAATGGTTTAACTGTGCACATAAGAGTGTAATGTCTGTCATTGAGTCAAGTGGCTTGGTTTCTATTGAATTATTTAAATAAAATCGAACCATACGTTAGTCCTGAAATGACCTGGTTTGTGTTGAATGCACGTTAAACCAATTTCTTTCTCTCTATATCAGAATGATCCAAGTTAAGTTCCATGGACACTTTTATCATATGATTCTTTTATTTTTTGCAAGTTTTCTTTTTATTAAAAAGTGATGTTCATATGTCAATAAATGTAAATATTATACAATACACAATGGCTGCCAGTATATCCAACTAAAGAAATATTCTACGAGAATTTTTATATATATATATACAATTATTTCAAATTTTCTGTGTTTATTGATAATAATAATTATTTTATTTATGATTGTATGCTATTTAAGTTTCAAATTGTAATAAGTTATCTCCCTTAGGCATGTCTTCGCCGACTGCTAATACTTTGTGCTGTATGGGGTAGTCCTAGTTTAGCTAAAGTCATGACATACTGACCCTTACTATTTTGAATATGTGGTGACCTTTCTTTAGATAAAGTCATACTTATTGTATATTTACGGTCAGATTTGAGTATCAAGTTTAGAAGCAGACTAAAAATAGATTTCTGATTGATATTTGTTGAATGTTAAATACTTTTGTTCTAAAATGTAAATAGTTACAAGAAATCATAAATCTTTCAAATTTAAATATTCTGAATTGTGAATCCAATGGGAATATCCCTTTAAATGTTTGACTTTAGCTAAAATATGAGTACTCCTTTAAACATTTATAACCAATAGAAAATCAAATTTGTTGTTTTTTAAAATAGTGCTTTAAATTGTCACGATTAAATGGTCTCATTTGAAGAAAAAAAAAAACAACTGCTGAATTATTAAAACTTACTTTCACAAACTTAATATCATCCCATTAAATTTGTTAGATCATTGATTTGTTAAAAAATTTAATTAAAGAAAGGATATATGAACCCATTCAAAATGGCAGGGCCATTCATTGTGTAAGGCTTAAGGCTATTTAGGATAACTCTTAATTTCAGTTTGTATAATATGTTTCAGTGGACAAATTTCTACAATAAGTTTTCACAAAAGAAAATATATTATGCAGCATTGAGGTTTACCTATTTCAAAGAACAATATAATATACATCTGTGTAGATAATCAATTGTTATATATATATTATATCAAAATTATTCATAATCAAATTACATTATAGATATGAAACTATCTGAAATTGAATTTTAATCTGCACTCTGTTATTCTTACAATGTTGTAGAGTCTGTTTAAACCTAATATATATTTATGAATAATTTTGATCCAGTAAACTTTACTGTAAAAATTGATTTATTCTCACCTGATGTTCAAAATCGATAATTCATTTAAAATATATTTGATCATTAAAATGTTTTTAAGATTACCTTTTTTCATTGGCCAAGAGTTAAAATCTGAGCATAAATTCCAGTAGTTAACCAATGAAATGAGGGTATTGTTAAAACATCTCAAAACTTTTGAAGACGTAGGTTTCATAAATTCTGCAATCCCCACCTTGTATAAAATCTGAATTTCTTTTAGAAAGTGTGTATTATTGTGTAATTGTCTGATATGATATTATATACATACACTATTATATATTATTATTATTAAACTTGATAAACATTTCATCAATAAAAATAATGTACTATAATATTTATTATGACTTTTGTTTCTTATGTATCTACACGTGCCGTGGGTTCGCTCCCGGTTTCTGAACATTTTTTGGTGTAGTTTCAACTTGTTAGTGGTGCCTGATAAGGAAAGTGTCTTGTCATTCGCATGGGATGGAAAATCAAGGTCCTATGTATACATTGGCGTGCATGTGTAAGAACCATTGATAGTTTAAATTGGATATAAAAGTAGGCTGTGGCAGCGTTATCAGGTAAAATTCCCCTCATAACACACTGCATGGCATATGCCTGTCTTCACTAGCCCAGTCGGTGCTTAAAACTAGAAAGTTGCATAAAACTTGTATTTCTTTTAAAACTCCACTGGCACCCAGTGTGTAATTTAAAATCCTCTCTCTCACTTATCTGTACTATCGTCAAACCCAAATTTATGTAACATGATTTGTTTTAAAATACCATCCTGGTTGAACACGGCAGATTTATCTTTTGAGATGATATTATGGTTAAGTTATCTGAAAGATGGGTATCAGATGTTAGTCAAGGGGACTTACCATACTGTAGATATGCCCCTGGATACATGTACGATCATGAATAACTGAATATTATTTGGTATGTTACATGCATTTTGTTTCCTATACAGGATGCAAATATATCTGCTTCAAGTGAGCTGTCAATATTTCATTGACTATAAGTTGACTTAAAGTGGTATACGAATATTTCAGTAGCCTGAGCAACTGGCAATGGAATTTAAAATTTATGTATGGTAGGACATGGCTTTTGTTGAAGGTTCTTACTATAACAGTGTCTATAATATCGTGGGGTATCAGCAAAGCTCCCAATAGAAAGAAATTTGGTTGTTCTTGTTTAAATAGATATTTTTATGTTCAAACTTGATGAATTTGTTTTGCTGGTCTAAATGAGAAACCCTATTGAAATTCAGAATCCTCCAAGGACTTTTTTTTTTGCAGAGTTACTGACCCTTATCACAGGAACCCTGTAAACACTTCTGCTTTCTAGTACAAACAACTTCACATATAATTTGGCATTAATTAAAAAGTAATAAAGTTTAATCAAAAATATATAACTGAGTATAAAAATTCAACAAAACATATCCGTAATGTACATAATGGATGGAATGGAATTCTGGAATGGCACAAAATATTCAAGATTGCTTCAATTTTAACAAACAATGCACAGAGCCTTGCAAACAAACTACTCCCTCAAATATTGTACATAAAGAGGTTACCGTTGTCAAGCCAACAACCGTTTCTATGGTAACAATTAAATACATGACTACAAATATGTTTTCTATGATCTTATAATTAGTTACTGTCCAACAATTTATTTTTAATATAGTTACTATTATGTTATGATGGCTAACTTTACATGATAATACATATTTAGTTTTATGTGTTAACATACACATGTTCACTATTGCCACTGCTTACCATCAAGAGTGTGCAATGTAGTCATGGGCAACTTCATATGTCGGTTTATATTTATGATTTACCATCTATTTGTTCACAGGTTACCATGAACAGTGTTCAATGTAGTCCTGGCAATCTTTACATGATGGTAAATATTTATGGTTTTCTGTTTTACCATCTATTTGTTCACTATCTCCACTGGTTACAGTACTTTCAAGAGTGTGCAGTCACGGCGACCATCATAATGGTTTTCTGTGTTACCATTTATTTGTTCACTATGGCCACTAGTTACCATAAACAGTGTAGTGTGCAAGGTAGTCATGGCAATCTTCATATGATTGTAAATATTTATGGTTTGCTGTGTTGGCATCTATTTGTTCACTATCACCACTGGAATAATCCAATAGATTTTGCTGAATATCATGAATTTATTTGTAATCGTGGTTGGTTGATGTTTGGGTTACCAGCCGTCTTATCAAGTTGATAATATTCATTGATAAGTGTATTTAATGATTCGAGACTGGCAGTAAAATCACCGACTTCCATTCCTTCTACAGATGTATAGTGATGTATGTGAGCCTAGAAAATAGAAATAAAAATATTATTAAAGAGTTCCAAATATTTACATGGATATATACTACTGACATTTATAATAGTAGAAGTCAAATATTTTATTAAAGTAACAGATTGACAAAGAAATGGTGGTATGACAGATAAGAAATGAAAACGTCCTACTCTTCTTCTCTGACTGGGCTAATGAAGACCGGCGTATGCCATATAGTGTGCTATGAGGGAAATTTTGCCTGGACAGTGATGCTCAGCCTACTCTTATATCGACTTCAACTGCCATGGGATCTTTTATGTGAATGTCAATCTGTATGCAGTACCTCTTTTTTTTGTACCATCCTAACAACTAAAGCTTTCCCTTGTCCGATTCCTGTGTTAACCGAGAAGGTTCATCAGAATTTTCCAGCTTGTTTCCCCCTTGTCAGTGGTGCAGTGATGTGGCGAAAAACCAAGTTCCCCGTGTTCACAGTGCTGTAAAACAGCCCTAGGCAGTTGGAATTTGACATAAGAGTATGCTGTAGTGTCGATGTCTGTCCAAAATTTCTGTCATAGCACACTGTATGACATATGCCCGTCTTCATTAGCACAGTCGGAGCAGAGCAGTAAGACATTAAACCCCATTTCATTTCATCCTAGACAGGTCTAGTCTAATTTATTAAAGACATGGTTGAACTTGATGATTAAGTCTATAGTTGTGGCTGCTTAAATTTGATCAATTTTGCAGAAAAATATACCTACCTTTCTCTTGTAAAGTTTAACAAATCTATCTTTTAAATTGGTAAAGCTCTCACATACACACGTGTTATTAGCCATTGTTAATAAAGAATATGGCTGGCCAACTGGGGCTACATTACAAAGACCTGTCTTCCATCCCTCTTGATTCCAATGTATAAATTTGAGACTGGATTTCAATCTGAAAAAAGTAATACAATAAATTTTGCACAAATTTTTATATTAGAGACCATAAAACCAAGAAGAACTTGTAGGACCGTTTTTCCAATTAATTGGTTCAAATTAAACTTTAATTTTTAGCTCTTCTGGGTTGATAAATAAATAACCACTTGAGTCTTGTGAATGGTGTTTTGTTTGATATTAAAAAGTTTGGAACTAGAAGATTTCTGGTTATATTATTTCTGTTTTATAGCATTACATTTAATAACTACTAATATACATGTACAATATAAATAACGTTTTTCACAGGTTCCAAAGTATAAAATAGGTTAATCTCACTGATCTAGCCGATGAAAACAAAACAAAAGTTATAGATACCATCTTGGCCTTGATGTTTGTGGACAGTAATGAGTTATCAGTCATATGTCAACAGATGATTACAAAAAAAGGTATTGATGGCAGTTTTAAATCAATAGAAAGTATTGGAACTTTAGATGGCCATAACTTACTTTAGGATTGACTGATTTGAATAATTTTCAGATCAATGTTTATCAATATAACTACACGTATTTTGTTTATGGTCTAAAAGTCTATATTTGTTGTTTAGTCTGGAATATTAGGTCTTTATTTACCTGTCTATATTACGTCTGATGTCAGACATCTCAACATTTCCACGAACCATGAGAGAACAAGCCAGGTAGAGGCTGTGTTTAGGATCGGCTTTCAAAAGTTGATGTTCTTTAGAAAATGCATCAGTAAACATCTGATCTAACCTTAAAAATAGTGAACATTTAAAACAAATATAAAATGTACAAAAAATGTTGTTTTTTTTTCCATTTTGACAGCCATACTAAAATATATAACCACTGATTGGAAAATACATTCATACTACTGTGAGAAAATTATTTCCTGCTTAAAGCAATCTACTTTACAATTACATTAATATGTTTACTTTGGACAGCAAACACATCCTCTCATTACCACATTTATTAAAAAACACAAGTGCAACTTTCTACAACAGGTCATGATACTGTGCCAATAGACTCAGTTATCACAAATACATTAATAACATTACATTTATGGCATACCCTGACAGTTAACATGTAATTTACAGTAGTTTGAATGGGAAACCAACTTTTCTGAATGTGTTAATCTAATGGTTAATTGGAGAGCTGACACCCAAGGAATGTCAAACAGTGTCTAAAATATGTGTTCCCAAAATGTGCAGTGATCAACTTGAAATGTTGAGTGATCATCCTCATATTGCACAGTAATGAAATAACACTATCTAAAACTATGTGTTAAGTGTAAACCTTTTAGACAGACTGACCAAACGACGGTCTGCAGTGATTACAATACATTACCATATGAAATGTGGACATATAAAAAACTTACCTTCTTGGAGGAAGGTGGACATCTTTAAACACATATAGTGGACTTTGACTAGCAACAAGATAATGTAACCGTGGAAACGGTACCAAGTTCATTGTTATCTCATTCAAATCAACATTTAATGATCCTTCAAATCTGGCAGAACTGAAAATAATAATTGATTGTAATTATTTAATATTAGGTTGAAATCACAGTGTGAGACAAAATCTTATCTCTTAATATCCTAAAGTTCTAATCTAGCGGCAAGATTTTTATTACATAAAACAGGAATATTTAGGAGTGAATAGCGTGTCCTGGTAGTATCCGATTGAATTGGACTAGTGTAGAGTTAGTTTAGTACTATGTCATCTTCTATAGAAGGCTTGACCTCGCTTTAACTCTGTACACCTTATCAAGCGCTTCACGTAATACCCTACATATTTTGGCATTAATTTTGATCAGCCACCGACCTATAGTCTCACGCTTTCCAGCTAAAATGTCTACCAGTGATAATCGAGTTGCAAAGTTCAGAGTTCGTTCAATGTCAAGGTTTCCGTGGAGGTTGCCATGGTTGATTTGAGTGTGCTTGTGCCACAAACTCTGATTGGTCACTACTGTTCACATGTTTGTGGTAAAGGGAGATAATGTAGCCATAAGTTGGGGAATTGCAGGCCAGTTTAGCAAGGGTCGTAGTTTCAGGAACATGGTACAAAGTTTGCCTTTATCTTTTGTCATGGAACAGCTCAATTGATGAAGATAACAGCGTTGGCCTGAGATGATAGCTGTTTGTGTAGGGATAACTGATAAAATGTCCATGATGTAACGATTCATGTTCCTTATTCTTTAAACTTTCTCCCAATCTGCTTTTCTGATGTATAAAATTATGCCAGCCAAATGCAATTATAAAATGATAAAAAACACCTACCTTGTCATGTTAAGTAATAAGTTAGCTACTATATTATTCATGGCATCAAATGGCTTCTCATCTTTACTTATAGCTCCCTCTATATTAGTTATAGCACTATCAGGTTTTATACTATTAGATACTGTTGACGTAAAAACCTTTTTACCAGTTTTTGTTGATGGTATGGCATGTGATATTTTATTAACAATATCTACTAAAGCCTGGAAAATGATGAAAGAAAATCATATGAAACTTAGAAACAGTTATTTTGATTGGGCCAGAGAGAGAGAGAGAGAGAGAGAGAGTTTAACATCCACTAGACACAAACTAGGTAATTTTGGGACTAACATATGGATCAATTTTATTTCAATAATTTGTTCGTGCATAGGGGTCTTTAGCAGTGGGAGGAAACCGGAGGACCCAGAGAAAACCCACAAGATTGACAGGCGACTCTACTCCTAATCACATACACTTTACTCGTGCACGTTAAATCACTAGACCACCCAACCCCCCTAGAGTTTAACATTTCTGATGGCTACACTGATATTCGTCTCGACTCAGCTGACAATCTGAATTACTAAATAAATCAGTAAGGAAGCCTACAATAATTATGTTCGGCAACTCAGCTGTTGATCAATTTAAATTTCTGCTAATGATTTGATATCTACCAATACTATTTGAGTAGTCTTTGGAAGAAAGAAAAAAGAAAAAAAAACATGAAATGATACAACTGAAGGGAAGCCTACCTTTGTTTATATTTGGTAATACTAACTTGATTTTCTATAGTATCTACCTTTGTTTCTATTTGGTAATCTATAGGTATCTACCTTTGTTTATATTTAATAATACTAACCTGATTTTCTATAGGTAAAACACAATCAGCCTTTTCTGTTAATTGTCTCATGGCCAAAACACTGTTATAAGGGGAGGTAATCACATCATCTTCAGCGGATGGATAAACTGCTGTTACAAATCTGAATATAGATTAAAGATACATTAGGTAAGATTAGATAAAGAGTTGACATCTCTCGCTATTATCGTTAAAAAATAAATAATGAAAAGGTAACATGTTGAAAATTTCAAACAAATTACTTCCCTCTGAGCCTCATTATCGTTGTTAGAAGAACAGTGTAGCTTTGATTGTCATTGTTACCTTTTTTCTATAACCGTATCAACTGCAAAACATATTGAAAATCTAGACTATATGATGGCATTGAGAATTGATTATAGTCTTGGTAAGTTAATTAAGGTCTAATTAATAATTTATATAACATTTAAGGTCTAAAGAAAGACCTGCAATAGGCAGATTTAGCTCTTGTATATTAATAGATTACATGTAAATAAATTAATAGAGTTTCTCTGATCATCTCATAATGTTAATTTTCAGGAACAATACATAAGAGGCAAGAAGAAAATGCGAAATACATCATTACCTATATGACTATCCAAAACTAGGTCGGCATTTTAAACTAATTGAGTTATATGACCCCACCCCATCCCCATCCCCTATTCAGGAAAATAAAATAACTTTGGAAATACATTTGTACTGAAACTATAGAGGATATAGGGATCATTTTGAAAGTAACCCAGGCTTTCTTTGAGTGGCCAAAAAGTAACATAGTTTACTACTTTATTAGTTATTTTGAGTGACATATGTGACAGCATGTGCTCAGACGCTATATAAAACTATTATGCCAAGTGGTCACTTGACCACAATCAAACGAACATTTGATTGTGATTCAATCATTGTAATCTCACTCACTGCACAGAGCTACGCCTCCATTCATTTCCCCTCGGGCTATTTTAGGTTGACTTAAATTTCCAAAGATAACAAACCAGAAAAAAGAGTTAACCTGATTACCTGTATACATCCGGATATTCATCTGCTAAAATATCTAACACAAACGTACCAACACCAGATCCAGTTCCTGTTATATAGAGAATACATAAATCATTTTAAAATCTAAATAAAAAGGTGATGAATTAAATCATACTAATTATTGAATATGCATATTCTTTTAGAAATTCTAACATAACAATTAGAACTCTCAAATATAATGTCAATCTTTCCGAAACAAACGTCATTTTGGTTCCAAACTAATTTATGAATTAAGTTTTCAAATTAAACGTAGTACTTAAGAACTGTGGAATTTGCAGATGACCATAATGTAGTATGTTATATCGGTAGCTCCATGCAAAGATTCAACATGGCTGGTTTATATAAATTAAAGATACATTGTCCTCAAAGTATTTATCGAGTGGTTATTTACAATAAAATTAAGGCAAATTTGGTATATATGGAAAGTATAGATGCCCTATCTTACTAGAAATTTACTGGATTACCCGAAAAACACCCACAGGGCAAAAATGCCAGGGTATCACTAACTGGCAACCTGACTGTTGTTGCCAGTTTATTGTACGGCGAGAGCAGTTCTTATTTCTTGATCAAATGGTAAAGCGGTTTTGGGAACATTGAGAGTGTCAACATTTAAAAGACTCTGCAATTAAACGGTGGAAAAAGAAGTTGACAGAAAATAATTAAGAATTTAATTGGGCCTCAATATGTATGGTAAATAGACAGTAAGTAATACATTCTGAAAAATGGACCCTCCCTCAATAAAGTTAGATGACAAACATGGCTTCTAACAACAGTTTATTTATAGCTTGGGGTATTTCCCTGCGAATACACATTTTAGAGAAGGATTTGAAGCAAATTTTTGACAGATTAATTAGTTTGAATACATGTTTTTAGTCCAAATATATCATCAAATCACACAATTTGGTTACCGGTATATTTTAAGCAAATCAAATTTTTGCTTTTGATTTATGCAATGATAGGCCTACAATATATGTGATTAAATATTTCTTTCTTATTATAGATTATAAAACACAACATAGAAATAATTTCCACGATTTTTTTTAAAAATAGGCCTATAATGACTGCAGTTCAACTTCTAAATTAAAGGGACAATAACACTCTTGCTGGCTTGAAAGCTCCAGAAAATAAATAATATCTCTTTCTTAGTACTAGATGTTTAAGTGTCCTACCTGTTGTGTAAATTATCCATTACATCCTATTTTACTTGTCCAGAGGGTTCGAAAATATTTTTAAATCGAAGTTTCATTTGAAAAGGTTTACGTTAGACGTTTCAAACCATTATGTTGAATTTTTCAAAATTTTTAAATAAGGTGTGTTAAAATGAAATTTGTATCATCAATTAATTGAAATATTCTAAAATAGTACAATTTGTTGACCAGAATAAAGATTGGGACATATTATTCAGTTACAACAAGAGTGGTATTGAGCCTTTAACCCCCAAAAGATCAAAAATCGTGTTTCTTTCTTTATTGTCAAATTTATATATAGCCAGTTATATCGAAACCATACTTAGTAGGCCTACAATATTGTATGCTTTATAAAATCTGGAATTAATCATCATGTTCTCAAAATAATAGGGTGTAGCATTGAATTTAACCAAGTCCAAGTGTGGGCGGGAAATACCCATTGTTCCCATGCAACGTCATAAATAAACATGGGGAATCCCAAAGTTCATCGGGACACGTTACTAAAAATAGAACTAAGACGAAACGAGAAAGCTGCGAAAAGCTGGATTCAAATTGCAGTCGATTTTATAATCAGTGGTATTGATACCTCGTCAACAAAACAGTGTACTGGTTATCAGATTATTGTTATTTTTAGTTATCGGAGGGAGTAAACATTTCATGAGTAATAGCGTGGGAATCCCGTGACGATGATAAATTCAAACATGTCGTCCACCTTAAGTTTACGCTCCAAAATCCAAGACGAACATCTAACATGTACTGTTTGTATGGAATATTTTACACGGCCAAAAGCGCTGCCGTGTCTACATACTTTCTGTGAGGGATGCCTGAGAGATTTTATCTACGGAAGAGGGTGGGAAAGGGAAGGAAAATTCCCTTGTCCAATTTGTCGAACGGAGTCAGAAATTCCAGAGGGCGGAGTGGAGAATTTCCCTGACAATCATTTAGTAAACAGCTTGTCGGACACTGTAACTCATGCAAGACGACCACCAAGGATTCCCCCGAGACCGCCAAGGTGCCCCCCTCCCCAAGAAGATGAAACCAGTGGAAGAGCAGCTGCGTGGATTCCTGTTAGCACTAAAACATGTAAATCGGATGTCCCACCTCTGTATCCAGTACTGACAGAGGTAACTCCTTCACAAGGACCCAATGACAATCTGCAATCAAATCCACAGCAATCAGGTGCTATACCTTGTAGCCATGGCATGGTTCTTCAGTTTGGAAAATATGGTCCAGGACATGTGGACTTTTTAAAACCATCAGGGCTTGCCATTAACTGTCACGGAGATTTTATCGTTACGGACGAAGGAGGGAATCGTATTCTTATCTTCAATAAATCTGGCCAGTTAAAATCTAAAATTGTTTGTACCAAATGTGCTATTAGAGATGTCGCAGTTACTCCTACTAATGATATTTTAGTCAGTGTGACCTCATCAGGGTCTGCCATCATGCATCTGTACAACATGAGCGGAAAGTTACTAGCAGAATTCGGACAGCATTATCATTTTGAGAATCCAATGGGAATAACTTGTCTGAAAAATGGTTATGTGGCTGTCACGGGTCTCGAGTCATTATGTGTGTATATCTTTACTGATCAGTATAAATTGTCGACCAAGTTTGGTCGAAAAGGTTCAGGAGATGAAAGATTTCTCTCCCCTTGTTATGTGGCTTCAGACAACAAAAACCAGCTAATTGTATCCGACAGTGTCAATCACAATGTACAAATTTTTTCGTCCACAGGAAAATTCAAAAATCGTTTTGGAGGTGAAGGAAGTAAACATGGGTATTTCAATACTCCCTTGGGTGTTGCTACTGATGACAAAAACAACATAATCGTTGCCGATAGCAATAATTACCGAGTTGAAGTATTTTCATCCAAGGGACGTTATTTGGGGAGTATTGTCGAAGATACATCTGAAATCGGTCCTAAAGTTAAACCAGTGAATGTTGCTGTAACCATTAACCACCAATATGTGGTCTTATTAGTTGGGCCACAGTTTGCTGAGGTCCGCGTCTATTTGCCAAAATTGTCACAGCTAAATGTAGATGCCCCTGATGCATGTAAACATCAGTAGACAAATGACCTTGTTTTGACTGAACTGAACATTGTATTGCAATAAGGATAGCAATTACATGTAGTTACCTCTTTCTTTGTGCCTTCAAAATTAACTGCTGTGTGCTGACATACTGCATTTTACCACCATACAAAATAATATGAACTTTTATGTAAAAATGCTATACAGTTGAATGTTTGTTGTGATAAATAATCTAAATGCCATTTTAAAATATATCCAGGCAAGAATGGTGTGCAATATTCTGAAGTACAATTATTCCAATATTTTGCCCACCTAGCACTAAAGTCGTTTCCACATTAGTGTTAGCGAGGCAGCTCAGTAGGCATAACATCCACTTTGTGTCTTGATATTCAAGACTACACAATAACAAAGATGTCTGTCTCCATGTAATACTGATACATGTATATAGTGCAAACCCAAACTTTTAATGTAAAAACTTATGAACTGAAATCTAGTGTCATTATATAGCATCAATGTTATTTTTAATACCTCATTTATGTTTCAAGTTTCTACAGAAAATGCTACAATGTAAGTGTATCGCTTGCACTAGCCACACATACATGTACATGTACATACAACGCTTCATCAATCATAGAACTAGGATACTAGTTCTATGATTTGTATGAATACGGATACCTCATCTTGTTCAGTGTTGGTGAAAATCATAGCACATTTAAAGCTTACAGAGGCATTATGTAAGATTTAGATAAAGACCTGGCAGTGATAGTTCAAAAATAGATAATTAATACATGTAGGCTACATTGGAAATTTCAGTCAAATTACTTCATTATGAGTGAAGTTACATGTACATTGTTTGGATTATTAAGTACCATTATAGGATAATAGACAAAATCTCGATTATCCTTTATAATGTTAAATTATTAAATGGAGCAGCTGTTTTAATCATTTCAATATTTCTTCCATTTGAGTGTTGACTATGAGCTTGTCGTGTGAATAAATGTCCAAATAATAATTTATATTAAACATTTGACGATATAAAAAACAGCATCAGATGTAGCCCGTCTTACATAATGTATCTTTAATACTGTACTATTTTAGTCTTATTTCAACAATTCCAGAAAAATGAGGATTCTCGATAAAATGCACCAATTTTATATACTGCTATTTGGAATGTTTTTTGAGGTACACTATTAATTTTATATACTACTATTTGGAATGTTTTTTGAGGTACACTATTAATTTTATATACTGCTATTTGGAATGTTTATTGAGGTACACTATTAATTTTATATACTGCTATTTGGAATGTTTATTGAGGTACACTATTAATTTTATATACTGCTATTTGGAATGTTTTTTGAGGTACACTATTAATTTTATATACTGCTATTTGGAATGTTTATTGAGGTACACTATTAATTTTATATACTGCTATTTGGAATGTTTATTGAGGTACACTATTAATTTTATATACTGCTATTTGGAATGTTTTTTGAGGTACACTATTAATTTTGAAAACGACAAGAGAATCATTGTAGAAATGTAGTTCAGACTGAAATACAGTAGAACTGACATTTGTGAATATTTTAAAAGTAGGAAAGATGTTTGTATATCTATGGTCTGCATACTGTAGATTGATGGCAAAGAGTCATAAAAAGTACAAATTTGGTTGGACCCTGTTTCGTGTAAGGGGACCCAGAACATCATGGTTATTCATACAAAGTAAATTACAAGTAGTAGTTTGTACACTTGTACACACAGATCTACAAAGCAGTATGCTAAATAAATACAAATGAAATCAACTCAACTGGTGGGGTTGAGTGGCCAAACGGTTTAATGCGTACAAATCAGATCACAATGTCTATCATTGTGTCAAGTTCTGTAGTTTCGATTCCCGCTTGTACGTGACAAGAGTAGGGTCATGGATTTTCTCTGGGTCCTCTGGTTTCTTCCCAAAGTGAATTAATGAAATAAAATTGAAACATGTTAGTCCCGAAATTACCTAGTTTGTGTTGAGTGGACATCAAACCCAATTTCTCTCTCACACTATATCAACTGGGAATTTAACCTATGTTGAAATGTATTTTCACTTCAGTTTTATAATGATCTGATATTTATTTTAAAAAGATTAGTTTAATGTCAATCAAATCATCATTACGTGTATTTTTGTAAAGCATGACTAGTCCCTCTTCTGAAAATATAATACAAGTAACCAAGCTTATATTTTTAAATATTATTTATAAATGCAATTAGGTTGTGATATGTATTCTGAAGTCGATTTACTAATTTGTCATTAATTTGTACTTCAAAAATATTATAATCTCTAATTTTATAATTGTTATATATTGTAATTAGATGTTGATTAATATAAATTAGATGTTTCAATATTTTGATCTTGTTTATTTATTCATTAGATTTTTAGCACAGGGTGTTTGGGTTTATGAGACTCTCCAACACTCTCTGTCCTAATTTTGTTCCTTAAAGATGCATAAAGAAAGAAATCCCTATTTTGTGCAATCAAAAATCGGCAAATTGAAAATGTCCAAAAAATAAAATGGAAAGAAAATGATGAATCAGACAAGAAAACTTGATAGGCCCCCATGTCCAGTAAGTACTAAAGCAGATGAGGTATCAACTTTGCACCATCCCATTATTGCTGTTACATACAGGCCAATTTATTTAACTAAAGGTGAATGCCACAATTAGCGGTCTCATTTGTTTTATTCACTTTCTTTCCAACAAATGGGTGAGTTATAATCCCAGAAACCATAGCAGAACTACTGTCCAATCAGAATCACCAATCTGGATCGTAATGATTCTTTTTTCACAGCTATGATTTAGTTCCACATAGCACTGACAGAAAAAATATAAAGATTTTAATAACCTTGCCATAGTCTTTTTATCATGTGAGTTTTATCTTGTTTTTGTCAGAAATAACTGTTCCAGTTGTGTACTTGAACTGAAACTACAGCAAAGGGTTCTAAACTTCTAAATCTCATATGTGATGATGTAATTTCCAAAACTTTGCATGGACTGACAGTGGACAGGTTTGGCTGAGAGTATTTGTAGTCTAACCTTGTTCATAAAACGAATGTGCTCTAATTGTTTTGGGTTTGGCATGACAACATTAAGATATTTCTTGATTCAAGAACAGTACAACTGCAATTCAGAAGACGAATTATTCAATTTTGGGGGGTTGTGTTTTAAAGTTACAATTTCATATTTTTACGTTATATTTTTAATAAAGCCTTAAAATAGATGGTATCTATAAACAGTCCTACCTTGTTAAAGAATAATCCTATTAATCCTATAATTCACTATTGCCAGTTGAGAAATTGGCAAAAATATCATTTTCCTCTTCAAATTCAAACGTTTGAAAATCGCTACTCCATGGTGGAGAATAGAAAACAAGGGAGGTAATTGGGAGGTAATTGTGTTATTATTTCCGGTGTAAATGAGTTTTAAGTGTGAGAATGACACCTATGATCTATAATAGTGAGTTGACAACCTATTGCGCAAAGACATACAAATAATTATGTTTTGACTTTCTTAGAAAATATGAAATTGTAACTTTAACTGATCAATAAAGACTGAAACAAAGAGAGAATTTACCTCCGCCCATCGAGTGTAAAATAAAGAAACATTGTAAACAATCACAAAATTCAGCTGCTCTTCGAATTGTCTCCGAGATCTGTTCCCCATACTGAGATCCATACATTTTATGTCCAACAGCCCTGTAATATGAGTAAGTATAATGAGATAAAAACATGGTTATATAAGTTGGCTACTTCTGAATATTTCCATTAAAAATTTAGATGCATCATCTCTTTGATTGTTAGTTTTCCTCATAAAATGACAAGATCTCTTCACTTTGGGCCAAAAATAAAAGAGTTGATTTCATTAAGTTTTACAGTTCAAATTATCTATTATTATTACAGCATATTTATAGTGGTACCTTTCACATCACATGTTTAGGTGCACTTTATGAAGTGACAATATAAAAGAAAAAAATTATGGACATGTTAAAAGTTGTATATACAGAGTCAGTCAAAAGCTTGTTTAAATAAATGTGTTAGTACAAAGGTATATTTTTAACCCATTTTGCTCAAATAAATTCTTATAGTAATTTATTTAATCTTTCAAGAGAGAGAGAGAGAGAGAAATGGGGTTTACTTCATTTTGGGACTAACATGGTTCAATTTTATTTCAACAATTTGCTTGCGTGTTGGGGTCTTTAGCAGTCGGAGGAAACTGGAGGACCCAGAGAAAACCCAAGCGACCCTACTCCTTGTCACGTACAACTGGGGAATTGACACCATGCCAGTTGACTCAATGACAGACCTTTAATGATACAACGCGCACGCGCTAACCATTCGGCCCCTTAATCTTTCAAAGTCTTGATCAGTTAAGTAATTAATACCACAAAATTATTCAATATATTATTTACCAATTGTTTCCACATCCTGATACATCTGTGATCAACTGTCGACAGTCAAAAACATCTCGCAATGATCCCTTCATAATTTCACTAACTACACCCTCTTCCATATCAACCAATACAGCCTATAAGAAAGAATGGTAATCTATCTTTCATGCTCTATTTATAAACCAACATCAACATTAGCAAAGGCTCTGAGCATTTTTTTTTATGTTTCTGATTCTGTTTGGATAATATTTTACTTTATAATTTTTTAAGACATACACAACTATTCTTACATTTGAACTTACCCTTGCTTTCAAGGATCGTATTTGACCTTTGCTTTCTGAAACTGAAATATTTGGAGGGTCATCGTAGCGACTGTCAACATTACGGAAGAAACTACTTAATGATTCATCATAAACACCTCGCTGAAAGTAAAAAAAAATAGGATTTAATTCAAAGAGATCTTTTAATGTGACTAGACAGTTCTAATTGGCATGTTAAATATGTGTCAAGTTTGAGAGAGAGAAATGGGGTTTAACGTCCACTCGACACAACTAGGTCATTTCGGGACTAACATATGGTTTAGGGGTCTTTAGCAGTGGGAGGAAACGGGAGGACCCGGAGAAAACCCACGAGGTTGGACAGGCAACCCTACGTACAACCGGGGATTCCAAACCACGCCAGTCGACTCAATGACAGACTTTATGATACAGCGCGCGCATGCTAACCATTCAGCCATCCACCCCCCCGTAAAGTTTGAGACAGATCAGAAAATCCAAGTCTGCTGATGACACTACTAGTAAGCTTACATGTATATTTATTTACAAATTGTACACGACCTGACACTACTCACCTTATTTATTGCTGCATGTTCTCGAAGAGCTAAATCCCAGAACTGACAACCAATCTGATTACCACACTGGCCAACTAGAAATAAAATTATATATGAAAAAAATTGAAAATTAAGACTCATCAGAACAATTTAAAAATCAATCTGTCTACCAATTTTTTAAAACAGTTTACACCAAACCTGAACTCTAATCCTTAAAGATGCATTATGTAAGATTTAGATAAAGAGCTGGCTGTTCTTGCTATAATAGTTCAAAAATAGATAATGCAAAATGAATATATTGAAAATTTCATTCATAAAGGGCATGGATTGTTTTTTTATCGTAGCAACGGTATTTATAAATTAAGACTCGGCCTTGACAAATAAACGCTACGATTTTCAATTAAAAATGACAATTTGGCATAAAGAAAGGCATATTTTCAAATATTGATAAAAATTATTGTGATACATGTATATGTTTGGTGTACTATGGGTGCCATAGTAAATACATATTATCTTAAACATACATTATGCAAGAGCTAAATCTACCTATTGCAGGTCTTTCTTTAGGCCTGAAATGTTATCTAAATTATTAATTAGACATTAATTATCTTATTCAGACCATAATCAACTCTTGATGGCATCGCTAGGCTGCAATGTTTTTTGGATTTTTCGAATCCCCGGTTGTACGTGGCAAGGAGTAGGGTCGCCTGTCCAACCTCGTGGGTTTTCTCCGGGTCCTCCGGTTTCCTCCCACTGCTAAAGACCCCTACGCGCAAGCAAATTATGTAAATAAAATTAAACCATATATGTTAGTCCTAAAATGACCTAGTTTGTGTCGAGTGGACGTTTCTCTCTCTCTCCTCTCTCTCTCTCTCTCTCTCTCTCTCTCTCTCTCTCTCTCTCCTTTACACTATCTAGTTTTTAACTATTATAGTGAGAACTGCCAGCTCTTTATCTAATCTCCCATAATGTATCTTTAATAAAATTTCATATTATTTGCTGTTGAATGATTAAAATTTTTCAAAATATTTTCAATTTTATTTTATTTTATCTATTATTATTTTTTTTTTTAATAATTTTTTTTTCCCATTCATTTAAAAACAACTTTTTAATTTTATTTTATTACATTTTTAAATTTTCTATGTATTTATTTTAGTTTGTATTTCATTTTTTTTATTGTGTGTATGTAATGTTGAGAATCAGAAATGATCAATGGAAACATGGCCTACAGATAAGGGATTGTTAACCAACGATGAACTGAAATAATTGACTTTGTTAAAGATAAATTTTGTGAAGACTCCTGGAGTCTGACCAAGCAGCATTTCTCACCCATATTCCAGCACCTGGAATGTTGGTAAACATATTCCTAACGACAATAAAACATATATATTTGTTTATCACAATAATAATTCTTACCATTATATTAGAAAATATTTTAAGACATTTTAAGAAGTATTTATAATAAAACAAGCGGTTGCCATGCAAGATACGCCCACATTTTGCAAGAGATGGAGACAGAGAACAGTCAGGGTCATAAATGGGTCATACATTTTAGTTGTCAATACAGACCATTTATAACTGATAGTTTTTGGCTATAAATTACTTTATTTTATGATCAGTAGTGGAATACCGCGTTTTATCAGTGAAATAAAAGTGTTATTCCACTGGCTAGCAGTAGTCCATGTGGTTTTTACCTAAAATGGGGGATCATGTGGCTAAGTGGGTAAGGCGCTGGCCTTAAACCCAATTTCATTTCATTTCAATTTTACCTAAAATGATTGTAAAATCATAAAATAAATAGAACATTTTACGCATTCGTGAAAATATAAGTTTTCTTGCTTCTCAATGGAATAAAATATGTTATTCACTCTAAAACGACAATTATCCTCTATATATTATAGTAATGGGTCAACAGGAAAGTAGAACTAGAAAGTAGTCAAGTACCAAAAGTAAATAAACAGGAAAATGTGTTTAACACTAAAATTAGATTATTCACATATTTGGCTGGTTTGACCAGGATGTTTGCTCTGTAATGAAAGTATAGCCAGATCTATACAATATTACACAAATCCAACTACTATCACATCAAATATACTTACTAGCATGTTTTGTTATTTGGTGCCTACTAGCATGTTTTGCTTTTTTTGATGGGGGGTAGGCAGATAGGATTTTATTGAATCTGAGAGAGAGAAAGAGAGAGAGAGAGAGAGAGAGAGAGAGAGAGAGTTTAATGTCTACTCAACACAAACAAGGTCATTTTGGGACTAACATATGGTTCAATGTAGAGCCTTTAGCAGTGAGAGGTAATCGGAAGACCAGGAAAAAAAACATAAGGTTGGACAGACGACCCTAATCCTTGTCACTACAAGCGGGGAATAGAAACCATGCAGCTTTTATCTTTCAGCCACCCAACCCCCCATATTGAATCCCAACGCCCATACAACTCATATAAATATACTATGAAAATAGCCTATTATTGAAAACGACTAGTGTAATCTTGTCGAAATGTTGTGTGGTTATTATCCACCAGGATTATTTTGTGGGAAACTAGAGTATGGTAGTTACTAGTTGGTACATTTTATTTGCTACATGTAGCAGATACTTAAGCTGGAGAATCTATTGTAGGTAGTTTTGCAAGACCATAAGATCTCAATTTCAAGTTACCAAATACAATTTCAGTTTTACAGAAAATATTAAATTGAGATCTAAGGCTGTTTGTGTGTTTGATAATCACAGTTGAAGGGGAGATACATGTAAGCTGAACTGCTCAATGTGGAGTGGGAGTATTGCTGTTGACTTATATCTACACCTTTTACATATTACAGAAAGTAAATGATTGTAAGTTAACGTCAACAAAACACAAACTAGGTCATTTTGGGACATAGTTCAATTTTATTGCAACAGTTCGCTTCAACATAGGGTTTTTTAGCAGTGGAAGGTACCACCAACCCTACACCACTCCATCAAATAATTCACTGCTATCAATTAAAACAAGTGGTTGCCATACAAGACATTGAAGAAGGGGGGGTGGTGAAATCTATAGGATTAGGACTCATCCTCTCATTCATGATCTTTTTATCCTTAACATATCTGTTAAGTTTCATCTGAACAGGACAATATTGTAGACCCTGGGGATACAGCTCTAGAATGGAAGGTCTGATGTCTACCAAAGTCAAACTTTTGATCCTTAACACATCCTTTAAGTTTCATCTCATGAAATGGGGTTTAACATCCTACTGTTTTGCTCCGACTGGGCTAATGATCCGAACAACTAGACAGCGGTCCTTGTCAGGCCCTCCGTCCTGCACCACTGACACGGGGAAAACACGCCAGAAAATCCTGATGAATTTTCCTGGTCAATGCAGGGATCGAACACGCGACCTCCAGGCTAGCGAGCCAGCGTCTTACCCACTTAGCCACTGTGGCTCCCATTTGGTTAGTATTACTCATTGACACAATCCCGATTATCAGTGAGTTGATTAATTTATACTATGCTGCCACCTAGTCAATCTAGGATATATACCCTCAGATTTTTAAGATTGTTTGCCGCCATTTCTCAATGAGAATCACCAGTACTCCAAAATTAAATTTTAATCGCCACTATCATATTTTTATCGCAAATTGCGACTTTGGCAACCAACAGCTAGACATATGGTCAGGGGCGACAACAATATACGTCCACATGAAAACGTGGGCGTATCAAAAGTTTATTTCCCGTAAACATACTAAAATCTTGCACAGTAGGCTAACTGAGCACGCAGAAAATGGAAAGTCCAATTTGCATCAAAAAGTAAGGGGGAATTAGGTTAGGGTAGACTTACTGTAAACACAATAACTTCTAAACTAGCTGGGGTTGCTCGATGGTCTTTACATGTATTTCATCAAATCGACAGATGCATAAGATATGAACATGCCAGAGATCATGGACTTTCTATGTTGCACTGTTGAGATATATTACCGTAAACATATCAAATATAAAAGAAAATTGGGTTAGGGTAGGTTCCCTGCGCACACAATAACTTTCAAACTAGCTTTGGTGTTTATTTCAGCAAATCAACAGATGCATATATAGGGTATGAGCATGCCAAAGTTTATTAACCTTCTATGTTGATTATCGAGTTATCACTACAAATTTACTAGCAACCGGATTAACAAAGGGTAAAGGGTAGGCCCTACTCCCACGCTGCCAAAAAAAAAACAAAAAAAAAAAAAACTTTGGTGCCAAGGATGAATAAACTACTAGACTGTAAAATTTCAGAAGCCTCCTTCATGTATGTTGCATTTTCGAAATATATACACGTGTATCTATCAAAAACATACCAAAAATATGGGGAGATCGAGTAAGCGTAGACTCACAGGGAACTCAATAACTTCTAAAGTAGCAATCTCAAAATTTATCTTTAACAAAGTTGAATTAGGCCTATTTTTGTTCGTTGTAGCCTTCTAGCAACATAACTTGCTTAAGAATTACTCTAGGTTGTGTTTTCATTGATCATTTCTGATTCTCAACATTACATACGTCACAAAATAGTTTTCAAAATTCATAAAATACAATTGAAAATAATTTGAAAAATGCTAATAATTCAACAGCAAATAATATGAAATTTTATTAAAATAATATGTAATTGCTATGCCAACCATAGTTCATCAGATATGAGTTGAAATAATAGTGGCTTTGGCCTTTTGGGTTCTATTTCATTAAGGTGCCTCTGGCAGTTCTTGTGGTCATAGAAACTTGAATTTTAAGGGGGTGAATGTTATTGTTAAACTTAAAGAGGACGATCTCGACTGAAATTTGGTGTGTGGAAATCGCTAGTCCAGGTTTCTCCATTTGAAAAATGATGGAAAGCCATAAACAGTCCTCCTGAAAGTCCCGAGGAGAATGATTCACCCTCTCCTGAAATTTAACTACTTAAAATTGAGTGTATCTGTTATGGTGCAACTGTAATGTATTTTATTTGTCCAAAAAGTCCAAATAAAATAATCTATTTAAAATGCTATCAAGTTTCTGTTTGTTTAATATCTTTAAGAAGACATAAAATTATTAAAAAAGTACTGAACATATAGAATAAAAACAGACTAGAGTTCCATATATAGATGAAGTTGTCACAGTATTTTCATCAAGAAGAGGATACAATTATCATTCATGATGAAAACAAGACTTACAGAATATAACAATAAAAATTTGTCTGCTAAATCCCTGTTGGCGAGGTTAGATGAGATAACGATAGATGAAGTTCTCAAGGTATTTTCATCAAGAAGAGGATATAATTATCATTCATGTAAACAAGATTTACCGAATAAAAATAATAATTCATCTGCTAAATGCAGCCATTTTGCTGCGGTGAAAGGCAATTCTTATTCGCAAGGTTGATGAGATAACGCTAGTATCAAAGATCGGTCATATTATGTGATACTGATATAAGCGGCCAAGTTATTCAGCCTGCGGCAAACAAAGAATACAGAATGTATGAGCCGCTTATATCAACATAATGTCATAAAATGACGCCATGTGATCGACCGTCTTCAAACTAGTGTTCTCCCGTTTCCGTCAATAACAAATCACAGAGATTCAATTCAATGAGTTCATTGTTTTTTAATGGCTCTCAGATTCGAAAGGAGCTTGAACATGAACGCTCCTGACACAACATTTAGGTGTGCGATGGAGCGCAAGCGCGATCACACTCCTAAAAAAGTAAGTCCTGTAGTCCCATTTATCATCCACTAAAAAGTATCTACGACCACAGGTAAATGGTAGAGGTACATTTAATACTGAAATAGAACCGAAATAATGTGGGATTTGGTTAGATTTGGGTGGTTTGGGTAAATCGTGCTACTCATCCGAGTTGACATTTGATTTTTAGACGAGGCAATTCAAGATTTTGGTGTTGTGTTGCTGTAAACGAAACCATCGACTAAAAGGCGATTGAAATACCTTGAACAACAATAGACTGTGTCATAATCTTGCGTATTGGTGGATTAGGGCTTTAAATTAATTAACTATCACACATTTTCAATAATTTTCATTAAAAAAAATGCAATTTGGCGTCCATGACAGTCTTTTTTTAGGGGCGACAACTCTCGTCATGCATTTTAGAGTTAGTTCCCTTCTGGAATTTCTTGCCGACACGTCAGATATATGTGGTCCAATGAAAAGCAGCCACGATTGGGAAGTCCCCGAGCATTGGGAACGTGTTGTTCACGCTTATTATTAAAATACAATAACACTTATATCTAATGCTGTAACCTGTGATTTACAACGATACAAGATGATTGGTAAATATGGCAAGAAAGTTTGCATTTATTTGATTTCAGAAGCATGGATGTCTTTAGGCTAATGCAGAATTTCTTTTCTTCGCCGACGTCGACATCAGAATATCTCAAACTTTGTCCAATTTTATTTATGAAATTATACTATAGCTAAATTTAACCCAGACTCCTTAGATTGGAGATTCGACTCCGTTCATTTAGTTATTTTAGGCCTAGTCCGATTGCTTTATTTAGTTTCGCAATTACATCTATTGTCTACATATCGTCATATGTGCCATAAAAAGATATTTTGTAGAGAATTATGACTTATTACTAATATTATGTGTCTAGATCCAATATTATTGAGGGGGGTTGGATGGCCGAATGGTTAGCACATGCGTGCTGTATCATACGGTCTGTCATTGAGTCAACTGGCGTGGTTTCGAATCCCTGGTTGTACGTGACAAGGAGTAGGGTCGCCTGTCCAACCTCGTGGGTTTTCTCCTGGTCCTCCGGTTTCCTCCCACTGCTAAAGACCCCTACGCGCAAGTGAATTATTGAAATAAGTTTGAAGCATATGTTAGTCCTGAAATGACCTAGTTTGTGTCGAGTGGGAAGTTAAACTCCATTTCTCTCTCTCTCTCTCTCCAATATTATTGAATCAATGAATCAAGCATTTATCTGTTACGCCTACGGTACTTGAAATTTTGATGAGGTAATGATTTATCGTAATGCTACTTCCAAGATGCTAATATATGGAAATTATTCCATTTTAAATATAATATCATACGTAGGCGAAAGGCAGTAGACCGCTGTTGTAAAAATATTGGTGGGTGAAACATAAAAACATTTTCTTTTTGAGTCGACAACCTACAAATTTGAACGTAAATTGAATGGATGAGCGACATCATTATTGTTTTGAAAGACTTGATTGCCGTACAAATTTTGGTTTGATTTTTTTTTTTTTTTCCAGGGGTACAAGTGACCGTGTGTGTCTCGGTAACACTATTAGTATCAGCAGTATCTGCTTTATATAGTAGTAGTGATGATGTCATAGAACTCACTCCTTCTAATTTTAATCAGAAAGTTATCAATGGTGATGAATTATGGCTGGTTGAATTTTATGCACCTTGGTAGGTTAAAAATAAAATTTTCAATTTCATTGGATTTTTCTATATGTTTATGATTTTTTCATTTTTTGTGAAAATTATCTACTGTCAACACAGAAAGCCAAATTAAAACTAAAATTAATATATAAAAAAAAAATATGTAATATAATCCCCTATTGCGATCAGAGTCACTTATTTTGTTCTTTATATTAGAGTATATTGAGTTATAAATAAAATTCCACACTGATTCTGTTTTGATATCAAATACATCAACATACATTGATTCTGTAAAAATCCTCAACAGAGCCATAGCTTTTCTACTTTATCAACTTTTATTGATTGAATGATATCTTTAACCTTAAACTGATTTATTTATACACAAAAACACAAACATACTTATGGAAAAAACAGCTACTTATTTTCTTGAGCGACGTTTCGAAGATTATTCTCTCAATGTTATCAAGCTAATACAGTAATACAAAAATTATGAGGCCAATATAGGCCTACAGAAAAACTCCTATGTCGCCCAAATAAAGAAATAACTGTTGTTTTCTTTTTCCATAAGTAACGTATGTGTTTTTGTGTATTGCACTATCCAGTTACTAAATGCCTGTAAAAGATTATGATTTATTCAGGTGGTATTACTATTAGAAATCCATTTCCCATGCCGGAAATTGAACCCTGCCTGCTATGCAAAATAACTTGTATGGGCTTCTCAAACTTTCTTGTAAATTCCACATCTTCAACAATGCTTTTCAGACAGATTTATATTCTATTTTTAGGTGTGGTCATTGTAAAAGTTTAGCACCAGAATGGAAGAAAGCTGCTACTGCTCTTAAGGTGAGTATTTCTGCAAACTAGTATATCTGTAACCTGATTGTTACCCTCAGTATCCTAGCAAATGCACATGTTATTGCAGTGGCGATTTTGAGAGTCAAAGTGTTATTTTCTGCCTGTATAGCAACAGATTTTCAGTTTAGTGTTCAAGCATGCTGTATACATGTAGATTAATTATGTGCAAATGGGCATAATTTGTCATTAATCATACCATTGGTTAAATATAGAAGTTAATTTATATTACAATGGTTTAAGCTCTGTTACAGTAACACAGTCCTTTCAAATACATGTACTGGTAATCTTATGGAATGTAACTCTCACTTAATATTTATAGTGGAAGCTTGATTCTGTTAAACTTCTATTTTAGCAATAAAGGAGCAATAGAAAATAGATACCAAATGAACATATTTTCTTGGATTAGCAGAGAAAGATCTTTTCATATTACAGGCTTTTGATTCACAAAACCTTTTTATTTTACTAATTTTGTTGGTTGTTCATTCTCAGTCGACGAAAATAATATGTCAATTGTCATTCAAGCATATTTTTTGTACGTCTGAATATTACATGATATTTTTAAAATTTTAGGGCGTTGTTAAAATAGGAGCAGTAGATGCAGATCAGCATAACAGCCTAGGAGGGCAGTATGGTGTCCGAGGTTTCCCTACTATTAAAATATTTGGTGCTAATAAAAATAGCCCACAAGATTATAATGGTAGGTCGGCCATCACTTCAAATTCTGATTAACTTGTATAATCTTATTTCAATATTTAATTTGACACAGTTGAGTATATAACCAATTTTCTCATGGCTAGGATTTTGAAAGAATTTTCTTAATCAAGGACAGCTTTATTGAAATTGAATTTTTTTCTTTCCATATACTCAAGAGTCAACTCCCCTTATAGTTTCCATTATAGTTCTCAAATCTATTTTTGACTGAATTACTGGAATGTTTATACTATTTAGGAGCAAGAAATGCACAGGGTATTGTTGATTCTGCCATGTCAACACTGAAATCAATGGTCAGTGGTAGATTGAGTGGTAAAAGTTCTGGCGGAGGAGGTGGAAAGAAGAGTGGTGGAGGTGGTGGTAAGGTAGGTAACTCTCGATTTCTATAACAATTTATGGACATGAGGTAAGCTTACCTCATCTAGAGACACTTTTAAACTGGAGATACAACCTCTAATCAGGATGTTGAGGATTTGGCCGAGACGTTTCTTAGGATTTTCCATGGCAAGGAAGTGAGTCTTAATTGTTCAGATAGAACTAGGTTAAAAAATCCCATGACAGTTGGGTAGACTGAAGAGCCCTGACTTCGCAATATTTCCCTTGTAGCACAATGTATGGCATATGCCAGTCTTCATTAGATCCGTTTGTGCAGAACAGAACAGCTTTAAGGCATGTTATCACTTTGACAAAGAAATTTAATATTGTATTAAAAACAAACCCTATATGACCTAATTATCAAATCCCTTACTGTTACCTAGTGAGAGTAACATGTTTTGGTGATGTGTTATTTAAACTACTTAAAAACCATTAAAAATGGCTGACTTTTAATTAAAGGTAAAAATTTTAGATCTTATTTATTATCTTTTTTTTAACTAATTGGTTAAGTCCCCAAAGGGCTAGTTTCCTTTTGAAGGTCTCATATACAGACTGATTATTTACATCCTGTTCACTGTAGTCTTCTCAAAATTGGCTAAAACTCCTCAAATTAAACAAATATTTATTTTGTAGGCTGGAGACCCTGCTGATGTCATCACTTTAACAGACGCCAACTTTGAAGAGAAAGTACTGAAGAGTAATGACCCATGGATTGTTGAATTTTATGCCCCTTGGTGTGGACATTGTAAAAATCTAGAGCCACATTGGGCATCAGCTGCTACGGAATTGAAGGGAAGAGTGAAATTTGGTGCCTTAGATGCTACTCAACATACAGTCATGTCTAGTAGATATAATGTAAGTATTTACCATATTTGTCATTGTCTCTCAAGGGCAGAGGTCGCAGTCACACAAAAATCCATGTTTTTCACATATTTTTTTCAAAATAAACGCAAATATTAACGGACGCTGCGTAATTTACACGCAGAAAATTTTCCTGACGTGAGAATAATTAAATTATTCTATTTCGTAGTTTGTACACTACGTCAACAATTTTCATGCTTCGCGCGGCATTTACACACCGCTACTGTATGTAGTCTCTGTAGGTTTTTATATTTCCTTTAATTTCGTTCATGGCAGTAAGCCTTCAATTCTATACATAGCTATTCTGAGACCCCATATTTTGCCGTACTGGAAGCAATAAAGCGCATTTCATACAAGAATTTGGATTGGCTAGAACACGATAAACTGTTTACATTCAGCCAATCAAGTATTGGCTTTCATAGCAATAGTTTGCTCTTTACTTCCTGTCGAAGTGAAAGATTGAATTTACTGTGCCGTCAACCATAGATATGCTGTCAACCTTCAGTCATCATTAGACTAAATACAGTATCAATGAAATAAGAACGCTTAAAATAGGGTTGTTCACGTAACGATTTTACTTGCTTCTATTTAGTATTTTGAGAGACTCTAAGTCACACAGATGTAGAGAGCAAAAATGCAAATTTTTTTAATGTCTGCATATTTTTACGCAACTTGAAATTGATCCATTGTGACCTCTGCTCAAGGGAGATGCTCGATTGTCATATTGAGTATTTTGAGAGACTCTAAGTCACACAGATGTAGAGAGCAAAAATGCAAATTTTTTTAATGTCTGCATATTTTTACGCAACTTGAAATTGATCCACTGTGACCTCTGCTCAAGGGAGATGCTCGATTGTCAGTTCCAAATTAACAGAATTGCAATCAAGTTCTGTCAGTCTCGCCAGTGGAGGTGGTGTGAGTAGAATCGTGGCATAATTAAACACGACGAACATGTTTCAGCTGTCTTGGTTGGTTGAAATATTTTCTTATGCTGCCGTTCCCCCTTTTTCACTCGATTGTTATTATTTTCTTGATTAAGAGAATTAATTTCCGAAAGGTGTAATCGAGTATCCACTTTGACATGTCTCTTGTTATTGGAGAGAAATTAAAGCCATTATATTTGTAGACAATATCTAATACTGTTTACCTGAGGGGGGGGGGGGGGTGGATGGCGGAATAGCATGTGCGCACTGTATCATAAAGTCTGTCATTGAGTCAACTGGCGTGGTTTCGATTCCCCGGTTGTATGTGACCAGGAGTAGCGTCCCCAGTTCAACCCTGTGGGTTTTCTCCTGGTCCTCCGGTTTCCTCCCACTTCTATAGACCCCTATGAAAATAAAATTGAACCATATGTTAGTCCCGAAATGACCTGGTTTGTGTTGAGTGGGCGTTAAACCCCATTTCTCTCTCTCTCTCTCTCTCTCTCTCTGTTTAACTGAGGTGATGCTTCTGTAAATACACGGACCATACAATATAAAAACATTAATGTTTTCATAAAATTTTGTCATTTCTCATAAAATTATCATAAAATGGAAAAATATCTTAAAAAATATAAAACTTCACTATTTCTCAGGGCCCTTATTCACGAAAACTTAAACTAAGATACAATCGAAATTTTAAGAAATACTGCAATTCGATTGGCTGACCAGTAAAATCAATTTGCATATATCCAATTTGCATATTGGTCAGCCAATCGAAATGCAGTATTTCTTAAAATTTCGATTGTATCTTAGTTTACTTTTTCGTGAATAATTGCCCAGGGCGGTACTGTTCTGGTTTCGGTAAGATATAACGAGTTTGATCCGGTCTGTTTCGGCTGTTGAGACAAAAATTTTCAAAATATAAAATTAACCATAAATCGCTACTCCCAATAATGAATTTCTAACTAGTAAATCCGGATGTGAATAAGAAAATTATCCAGGCATTTTATGAACCCGAGCTTGCTGCTCTTTCATTTTCTGTTTGACAGTGTTCAGTCAATGTTATGTGGGTATATGAACATAGGAGAAGATGACTGCAACCATTAATATCACCAGTGCTACGGGTGGGATGTTCTTATCCACATCACACTGACTCAACACGACTTTATGGACTGTAGATAAGTTATTTAAGTGTCATAACAGTTATATAAAAGAGACCATAATATTCGATAATAATAAAAACATAAAGTCATGAAATGTATTAAAAACAATATAAAATTTGATAAAAAAAAAAAATAGTAAAATAATCATAAAATTTGGTTGAAAAATATCATAAAAATCATAAAATTGCACTAGAAGCTTTCATAAAAATATAAAATTTTACCAAAAATCTGTGTACGGTCCGTGTAATTATGTGTGAACAGAAAGGAGATGCTCGATTCACAGTCCAGAACGTCTCGAATTGACAGAGTAACGAATTGACAGAGTAACGCGGAATTCAGTTCTGTCACAGTTCTTTCAGTCCCGACAATGGAGGTGGTGTGAATAGAATCATGACATAATTAAACACAGTTAATATGTTTTGGCTGCATGGTTGGTTGAGATATTTACTGATTCAGTCGACGCATGCATGCGTTGTAGCCCGTCGTAGCCCAAAATCCACCTTTTCACTCGATTGTCACTATTTTTGTGATTGAGAGAATTCAATTCCGGAACGTTCAATCGAGTACCCCCAAAGTCAGCTAATGAATTGCTGTTATTAAAATGCTCAAAAAAACACAACCAAAATATCGAATGATAGATAAACTCACAGATAACCTCAACAGTTAAATAGAGACCCATTTGTTGATTATGGAGAACATACATATTTTTGGCTTTTTATGTTTTAGGTACGTGGTTTCCCTACTATTAAATTTTTCCCTGCTGGCACGAAAGGTGATGCTGAAGAATATGATGGAGGTAGAACATCATCTGACATTGTCAGCTGGCTGGACGAAAAAGTTGCTTCCAATGTTCCACCACCAGAAGTGGTTCAGGTAGGTCAAAGTTCAAAATCAAAGTAAGCATAAATTTGCAGTCTTTTGTATGGAATTAAGATTTTTTTAAAGGCACTGTATCTGTTGTATTTTTGTGAATAAAACTGGTTAATTTGCTCTCATAACCACTGCATGGCATATACGGTCTTCATTAGTCCTTACAGTACAGAAAAGAAGGTTGTAAATCCTATTTTATTTTACCCTGTGAAATCGGGAACAACTCTCTTAAAGAATGTGAACTATAAAACGGGTCACATTAATATTTAACATTAGGGCTGTTTATTGTGACCAAAATTGTGATACAGCCAAATGATATGTATATCAGCATATTGAGAAATCTGGTTTAAGTAGAAAAATAGATAGTTTAATAAACCAGTATGGATATATTTATGTGCTTTAAGAAAACAAATTAAAAGTAGATCAGAAATAATGATACATGAAACTCGTGTCAATAGATCATATAGCCCATATCGCAATACAGCAGCGGTATTGAACGCTTCAACAGATCATATTAATTTCACATAAAATTTTGTTTTGCCATGGGAATCAAGTGAAATATTTTGTGTTTTCAGGCCATAGAAGAGAATTCATTGGTGGACAATTGTGATGAGAAACAGCTATGTGTAATTTCTATTTTACCACATATCTTAGATTGTCAGTCTGAATGTCGTAATAAATATATTAAAATACTTAAAACACTAGGAGAAAGATTCAAGAAAAATAAATGGGGGTAAGTTGTAGCAAGTCAAAATTCTCAGATAATGTTTTCAGATATTTTGGAATTAAAACCAATCATATGAGGAGCTTGATTTTCAGTTCAAAACATTTTGAATTGGTGAAATTGTAATTGGGTATCAAGAAATCGAGTCCTGTCTCAGTTTTGTTGTGTAGGAAGAATGGTGACGTATTCAGAGGTGACAACTATATGAGGATTGAGTTAGTGTCATATTCATTTAACTCATGCTTTGATGTTTGAATCAACTGTACCCTTATCGATGTCTCTCTATAAAACATATCAACCCCACCCTACCCTATAATGAAACCTCCCATATAATGCTTAATATTAAAGTCCCAATGTTTTCTGACAATGTGTAATGTCCATCAACACAAACTAGGTCATTTTGGGACTAATAGATGGTTCAGTTTTATTTCAATAATTCACTTTAGCTGTGGGAGGAAACCGAATGACCCGGAGAAACCTCTTGAGGTTGGACTGGCGATTCCATTCATTGTCATGTATATGCAGTGAATCAACACCCCACCACTTGACCCAATGACAGACCTTATGATCAAATGGGCACTCTTTAAAACCCATCGGCCACCAGACTCCCCTATTAGATATTCAGCATTCAATGTGTACCCTATACCTGTACATGGTAATCAGGGAAAGGAGAATGCTATATAAACTAAATTTTATAATATTTTGTTAGACTTTATGATTATAATAAAGTCCTTATTGATATTATTTGACAAACGTAAATAGGTGAAAGATTGTCAAAAATTATCCCCAAGGGTCCAAATTATTATTTTACTGCACAGATTTGTTTTAAAAGTAAGGAAAGATATCTAGTGATGGTGATAGTCTTCTCCAAATACCATTAAATGTAATTTTCATATTGATTATTGTTTGTTTTAGTTGGCTTTGGGCTGAAGCTGGTGCACAGCCAAGTTTAGAAGATGGTCTGGGTATTGGAGGCTTTGGTTATCCAGTAAGTAATCCAAATTATCCTTTTCCTGATTAATCATTAAACGGAAACTCAGTGAGATTGATTGTTAAGATTATTGGTTGTCCCCAAGTATTTATAGATGGTGTTTATAGAAAGTCTATAGATTCACGGTGCTTTATGGAAAGTCTATAAGATTCTTGTGAGGATGAATATAGATAAAAAGTATGCAAAATCGTATTTGGCATTAAGATATTGTAGGGAAATCTACTTGTCTCTTTTATTGCAAGTTGCTTGTGGACATGGTTTGTTACTGAGTAGTCCATGTTTAATTATACTCTATTTTATTTTTTAGGCAATGGCAGCTTTAAATATTAGAAAAAAGAAATATTCTTTGTTAAAAGGACCATATAGTGAAACTGGTATTGGTGAATTTTTACGGTAAGTACAACAAAAAATATATGGTGTAAAGTATAAAACAATCTAAATAAGTAGAATCATATATCAGTTTGTAGACCTTAGGCTGTTTGTTCCAAATTTCTTTAACAAGTTTGTTTCAAATATATTTTTTTGGCTAAAACGTTTCTCCAAGTCCCAGAATATTGTATGGTCATAAGGAAAATCTCAATCAAGATTCAAAATTTTTCTTCTGCATTTGCATTTTGACTTGGGAAATCTTGTGAACTTAAAAAAAGGTTTAAAGGGACAATAACACTCTTGCTGGCTTGAAATCTCCAGAAAATAAATAATATCTCTATCTAAGTACTAGATGTTTAAGTGTCCTACCTGTTGTGTAAATTATCCATTACATCCTATTTTACTTATCCAGAGGGTTCGAAAATATTTTTAAATCGAAGTTTCATTTGAAAAGGTTTACGTTAGACGTTTCAAACCATTATGTTGAATTTTTGAAAATTTTTAAATAAGGTGTGTTAAGATGAAATTTGTATCATCAATTAATTGAAATATTCTAAAATAGTACAATTTGTTGGCTAGAATAAAGATTGGGACATATTATTCAGTTACAAGAGTGGTATTGAGCCTTTAAGGAAAACCTATATTTCCAGTCAGTCTTTATACACACACATTTTCTTATGGACATACATTGTTGTCAGCCCAGTCTGTATGTCCGGTCAGCCGCAGATTGTTCATGAACCCTCTATAGGACACTTTTTTTATCCGATTTTGTACAAAAAAATCACATTATTTTTTTAGCTTGTTTTCCTTGCAAAATGCAGGCATATCTTGCATGGCAACTGCTGGTTTTACCTTTAAAGCATGCGAGACTGATAATGGAACAAATTTTGCATAATGAAGAAATACAAATATATTAATTTGGCCAAGGCTAGTCTGAATATTCGAATGTTGATTTTATTGATGTTTACCATTCTTCGGACAAATTTTGAATAGATATTGGTTAAAATTACTAGGTATTTTTTTTTTCAGTGATTTATCTTTTGGTAAAGGTGAATCTGCCCCTTTAAAAAATGCTGCTCTGCCAAATTTAGTTAAAACTGAGAAATGGGATGGCAAAGATGGAGTGGTATGTATTACAATTTATATGTCTGTGAAGTACTTACTTGTAATATTAGACAAAAAGTAGCGAGTTGATGTCTGATGCGTTCACTTTAGGTTAAGAATCATAGTATTGATCCAAGGCTTGTATGTGACAAGGAGTAAGGTCACCAGCTTAACCTCTGGTTTCCTCCCCCAAGAACCCTTAAAATAAAAATTATCATGTTAGTCGTAAATGACATGGTTAAACTACATTTTCTTCTCAAAATCATAAGGGGCCATGCAATTGGATACATATTAGATTATAATTTTTGGACCCTCTAAGAAAATCTCCATCATTCTGGAAATGCTGTCTGTCAGTGTTACAATAATTGATCAATGGCCATCTAAAGTTCACATTACTTTCTGTGGCCTACATGCTGCCATCTATTTACCTGAATTGTACTCAAATAATCGCACAAAGCCTGAAATTGAAACCTGCTGTGTTTCTAACACTATCTCCAGATGGTGGACTTTTGAATAATGAAACTATTTCAATACATATTCAATATCAAAGATAATGTTTCTCATGTTTTGTTCTTGATTTTCCAGTTGGAAGTAGAAGAAGAAATTGATCTTAGTGATGTAGAACTGGATGATCTTGATTCAACTAAAGAAGAATTATAAGTCTAGATAATAGTTGTATATTTATATGGGTATAAATGAAAGTGTGAATGCAGTGTAACTGATAAATCATGGGTATGAAAGAAGTATATCTGACTTGTACAATGTCATATCTTCTTTCATTGAAATACATAGAGCAAACTATGTTAGGCCGCCTAAAGATAATTATAGGATTCTTAGATAATTTCTTTACGAAGAGGGCAGTGAAGGATAGGAACCCGTTTTGTCTGGTATAGGGGAATAATTTGGCACCATGTTTTTTTTTTCTGATATTTTTGGATTACCTCAAATTGTAATATTTAAACCTTAAAAAACTCAACTTCTCTTTAGGTATGACTCCTGTCAGTGTTTTTTCAAAATTCTGATAAAATCAATCTAGTGCTGGTGTTTGAGAATCACATAGTTTTTCTTTTAGATGGCCTAAATCATTATCAAATTGTCTTGTATCCCGTTTTGACAGGTTGTCATCCTTAAGAAAATGTGCACTTTTGTATTTAAAATGCAATAAAAAAACACACAATATATTACAAGACTGTTTACATTAAGATTTAAAACTCACACAAAATAAATATTCATAAATCGTCTAATCCCAACACACTTGAATGAAAAAAAACCCCAACATTTATTCGTATAGAAAGTGTAATTAATAGATTTGATTTTATTAACAAGATAATTTTAGAAGTTATTGGTATGTTCAGCTTGTTTCACATCAAAATTGTTCAATTTTTGTTTATTTTAATTGTTATTTTAAGTTTGTTTAATGTGTCTTAAATTAGATTAATAGATGGTTATTTACCCTAAAGTTGTATTTACATGGATTTGTATTTTTCACATCATGTCATCAATACACATGAGTTGAGAGAATTAACTGGACAGGACCACAAGTATGTCGAATGTACATAAAATATAAGTGCTTGCAATTTGTAATGTTGATAGTGTATGATTTCCTCTTGCAAATTTAAGTTCTTAAATTTATTTAGTGGTTATTGAGATTTAAATATTGATCATTTGGTCAAAATGGCATGAAATCTCTATATACAATGTCACAGATAATAATCTTACCTTTTTTAATTGGTTGAGAGGATAAATGACCTTCACCTTGTGTTGACCGAAGGTATGTTAACTGGGTTTCATCCTTGATATGAAGGACAATGATGGTAATTTTAAACTTTTAGGGTAAATTGACTATTAGATCAGTCCTGAATCTGTGAAAATCCCCCAACCCCTACTGCTGTATTTGCTTACAATTTATAAGATTTTGGTTATACTTTCTTTTATCTTGTGTAGTTTTAGTGCTGGAATCTGTGCTCAGTTATGGAAATATTTTTGTTATATTATGTTGATGTATTAATAAGGGAACAAATAAAATGTTTTTCATTTTTTTCTCCAAACAAGGTATTGTTTTCCCTACATTTATTCTGCAGGTCACCCTAAAGATATGTTTAAGAAAAGCTTATTGTCTGCCTTGAACCACAGCATAATAATAATACATTCAACTTGATTTAAGAAAGTCAATCCAATGTCTTGAATCGACAATAAAAGGCTTTCAAAATATTTTACAGAATTTTCTGTATTACATGTGCCAATTGTTATTTTCACATAACTGAGTGTGCTCTACAAAGAAATTTTTTAAAGGAGCTAAATCACTATTTTTTGGCAGCTAGAATGGGCCGCAATGCATAATAATGTAAAATGAATGTATATAAACTGATTAATATTCAATCGTTTGTTTTTACTGCAATTTCTAATCAGTTAAGTTTGACGTAATATGCAAAGAATTCTATTTGAATGGCAGTTTTTTTGCATCTTGTCATTCCAGTCTACTCCGGTGGAATATGTTAAGCCTCGTTTATCCAGTCACTTCATTATGGCGCTCAAAAACATTCTGGCACGTGATTTGTGTGCCAAGTTTAAAATTTTCATTGTGTTTTAAATATTGGATATCAGAAATCCATCTTTTCAGGGTTAGATAACATCAATGTTGATTTAAAGGAGCTAAATTTATTCTTTGGCACCCATATATAAACTGATTTACATTCAATCAGTATCCTCCACAGTCTTCGACATTGCAAACATTACTTATTATTATTATGCATTTATATAGCACCACTTCCACAGTACTGTGCTCCAGTGAGCACTGCAATATAGATATTGGTCAATTTAAGTCAACATTGATGTTATCTTACCCTGAAAAGTTGGACTTTTGATATCCAATATTTAAAGTTACAATTTCATATTTTCAAGTTATATTTTTAAAATGTATTAAAATAAAGCCCTAAAATAGATGGTATCTATAAACAGTCCTACCTTGTTAAAGAATAATCCTATTAATTCTATAATTCACAATTGCCAGTTAAGAAATTGGCAAAAATATCATTTTCAAATTCAAACGTTTGAAGATAGCTATTCCATGGTGGGGAATAGGAAAACAAGGTTAGATAACATTTAAAGGAGCTAAAGGAGCTAAATTTATTCTGTGGCACCCATATATAAACTGATTTACATTCAATCATTTCTGTTTTAACTGTAATTTCTTATCAGTTATGTTTGGTGAAATATGCGAAGAGTTCAAATTGAATGGTAGTCTTTGACTTCGGTTATTCCAGTCTACACCGGTTATTCCAGTCTACACACCGGTTATATTCTCCTGTGGGACATGTTTAGCCTTATTCTTCAGTCACTTCATTACAAATGGTGCTCAAAAGCATACTGGGATGCAATTGGTGTGCAAATTTTAAAATTTTAATTTTGTCTTAAAGCGAGAATTTCATATTTTCTAAGAAAGTCAAAACATAATTATTTCTATGTCTTTTGCTCAATAGGTTGTCAATTCACTATTATACGATCATAGGTGTCATTCTCACACTTAAAACTCATTTACACCAGAAATAACAATTACCTCCCTTGTTTTCCTATTCCCCACCATGGAATAGCTATCTTCAAACGTTTGAATTTGAAGTTGAAAATGATATTTTTGCCAATTTCTCAACTGGCAATTGTGAATTATAGGATTATTCTTTAACAAGGTAGGACTGTTTACAGATACCATCTTTTTTAGGGCTTTATTTTAATACATTTTAAAAATATAACTTAAAAATATGAAATTGTAACTTTAAATATTGGATATCAAAAGTCCAACTTTTCAGGGTTAGATAACATCAATGTTGACTTAAATTGGCCAATATCTATATTGCAGTGCTCACTGGAGCACAGTACTGTGGAAGTGGTGCTATATAAATGCATAATAATAATAAGTCATGTTTGCAATGTCGAAGACTGTGGATGGTACTGATTTAGAGATTTGCCCCCTATAAGCTAAATATGTTAGGATATAGATAATTGCAAACCCCAAATTTCCAACTAACCAAACGTATTTTGGGTTGCCAAGTAACCGTAAACACGAGTATTTTTTTGTTTACTTGGCCTTATGTGATTTCCCAAACTTCATAGTCAATCCGTAGTAGGGCCTATTTTTGTTGGGAGGCAAAAAAACGTAAATACTTCTATTTTTTTTTTTTTTATTTTAACTTGATATCCATACTTCATATTTATTCCGTAAAGTATTTTGCGCGCCAAATAACCGTTAACACTGGTATTTTTATTTTTTTTCCGTTTTACTTGGCCTTATGCATACTCCACGCAGCGACCCATCTACGTCATACTTCCCAGAATGTGACACTGCACTGATTATCCGCCATTTAAAACGCTCATGCGATCATTTTGGGGCGGGACTTATCGACTCGAGACCGCTTTGTTTAGACAACAGAGTAAAAATAACCCACGCACGTGTGTTTTATGTAAACACGGCATGTCGCTGACACTCGCGTAAAAGCGATATATAATATGTGCTATGGGTAATATTGCAATAAATTCTTTACCATTGTAAACTGTCTTTAGAGTTTCAATCTGTTTATCTTTCAAAACAAGGTTAGATACTCCTAAATTTGTTTTCGCAAATAAAACCGCCTCTGTAAAATTATGTTTCATGGGCGCTGCCATATTGAATAATTAGAGGACTATTTTGTGATTCGGCTTTGATTAGTTTGACATTTTTCATACACACAGCGGCTAAATAAACATATTTAATTTCATTCCATATGACAATAGAAGAGAAATAAATACTTTTAAAAATTTCTAAAAGCATACTCAGTGTTTTCGACTAAAATCGTCGATGTAGGAATTTAAATGTCGGTTAATTAGCTTAGGGCCTATTATCAGCCGGAGCTAGCTGTAGATAGGCAGCCTAAGTTTGGGATGGGTCTTATGTTGATATCCCAAATTACATAGTCAATCCGTAGTATTTGAACCGGAAGTATAAATCGCAACATGGCGGGTGTAAATAAAGAAAAACGACCAGAAGAAAGAACAAAACAGTTTAAAAAAGTAAATGACAATAAAAATAAAGTAGTTGTTGATGAAAATTCAGCAATAATTAAAATATTTCGTGGTTTCCAAGGAGAACTAGATGCCAAGCACGACAAACACGAAAGACTGGTGAAAATTAGTCGTGATGTTACAATCGATAGCAAGCGCACCATATTTCTCCTTCACAGACATCGAGATGGAAGCGATAGAGAGGGCAACGATGAAATTCTAAATGACGCAAAGGACAAAATTAAAGAAATACAAAATATTAGATTTCTGGCCATGGCAGAAGAATTGGAGGGTGAGGATCCTTATCAGTTCATGAGAGCCATCTCTCCAGGCATGCAGGAATATATTGAAGCCATTTCTTTCTATTATTATTTGAAGCATGGACAGTTAATCAGTTTAAAGGAGATCCAGAAAGACTTGGTATTCTCTAAAACAGGAGAGGACGGACAAAACAAAACCCTGACATTGAATGTTCCCCCCATAGAGTATTTATTAGGATTAGCCGACTTAACAGGAGAGTTAATGAGACTTGCGATAAACAGTGTTGGAGCAGGAAATTTAGAAACACCATATAAGATTTGTGAATTCTTGCAAATTGTTTATGATGCTTTTAATTCTTATGGAAATACATTGAAAGATTTGAACAGAAAAATGGGAACTTTAAGACAAAGTTTACGAAAAGTAGAAAATGCATGTTACACATTGCATGTGCGTGGGTCGGAAATTCCAAAACATATGTTGGCTGATGTCTTTATGGCAAGTGGTGATGATAAATATGCAGAAGATGTTGAGTAATACAAAACTGGGTGTAAGAAGCAATTTTCAGAAATAAACAAATTAACCATAAAATTTGCTATTGTTGTGGGGTTTTTTTTCAGCTGTCAGACTAATGGGTGTAGGCCTAATGTCTACTTTACTGCTTGTGCAGGGATAATGTTGAAGAGATTCAGTTCAATCCAAAGCACATGTTACTTGCTTGCGTGAAAGATGTTAGGGTATATTGTGGATGTATATTGTCGTCGCCCATGTCCGTCCATCTGTTCACATTTGTTTGTGGACACACTACAGTTCACAATTTTAATTTGATTTTGACAAAACTTGAAATATAGGTATATATCCCAAAGATCTTGGATCCTTTTGATATTGGCTGTATTGGAAAGTAACTTTGAGGCTTATGACATGTTTCAGGCAGCAACTTCATGGATTATGTATGGCCACTGATTATACGAAAAAATCACGTTTTTAGCTTGTGGCCACTATAAAGGTCCAATTTTTATCCGATTTTGATGAAAGTTGAAATGTATGTTTATAACCCAAAGATCTTGGTACCTTTGGATATTCGCGCATATCAAACAGTAACCTACTGGAATACTGGATAATGGTCCCTGATTGTACGAAAAATCATGTTTTTAGTTGTGGTCACAATTTTTATCCAATTTATAAAGAAAACATTAGTGGGCTAGATCTATTTGTTAAGGCCTACCCAGTTTTAGTCAAGATTGCTGAAGAACATGAAAATCGGTCCAAAACTGCCTGCTGCTTGTATGCAAATAGTGTAATGTAAAGGTATGGAATGTCAAGGTTGTGACCCCCCAGATGTCACAATTATGATGAAACTTAAAATATATGTTTACTGTATATTGAAAAGATCTCATTTCTTTTCAATATTCGCCCATATCGAACCACAACATCCTGGATTATGGCCCCTGATTGTGGTCCCTCTAGAAGTCACAATTTTTATCAGATTTTAATAAAACTTAAAATATATGTTTATATCCCAAAGATATTGATTCCTTTTGATAGTGTTACATGTATGACCGTAACATCCTGGATTATGACCCCTGATTGTACGAAAAAGTGCATTTTTAGCCTTGTTATCTGTCCATCTCTTGCGAAATGTAGGCGTACCTTTCATAGCAACTGCTTGTTATTTCTGGTATGTAGTGAAGGGGGGTTGTGTCACATAGGTCACATCATTAAATATCTAGATACATGAATTACACACTGAAATCAAATATGACCAAGTAGCCTACCCATACATTGTAGCTTGCAACTACAATTTACATTAAATCATAAAATGCAGATTTCTTCTCAAAAATGGTTATTTATGTCAATAAGATCAAAATCTGCAATTTGATCATACAATACAAAATAATTTTGGAATACAAGGTGTCTTAAGACAGAATCTGCAAGATTTCAAGATGACAAAACATGCAATGGTCCTTCCTTATAAGTGAGTCAACATATACAGCCATCCTGATGTGATTTTCCACCAATAGGGTGCATCTATAGCCCCTCAATTTTCAGAACCCCCTGTCCCTTTTTCTAATCTGTCCTATTCCCGAAAAAACACTCAATGCAAAAAATTAGACATATTGATTTATATTTAGGGGGTCCACCGCAGCCTGCAAAAATCCGCAATAAGCCCCTGCTCAAGTAATACAAAAAATACAATTAATGATTTGCCTTCTACGCACGTAAAAACAATTCTAACACTCAGGATTTACTACACTAGGTTGGTGCCGAAAGTAGGATGTTAAACACCATTTCATGTTTTACCATTTCATGTTAGCGTTTTAGTTTTATTGGATAATTAATATGGAGAAGGATGTCCCCCCACCAATAGAGAATCATATTCCTGAAGCAATGGCCAGAGAAATTCCTCTCAGGCCATTGCTTGATTAGCTTCTGATACTTGCGCTTTTGAGGGAGTGTGTCTATTCTTCCTGTTCAATCAAATCTATCCCCAAACACAGCAACATGACAGCCCTTCTTTTAATCAGGTGCCTTCCCTAAAACTTTGGACAGTGATTTAAGGTATTAAAAACGTTGTTGTTCGTCTCAAAACGAATATTATATCCGTGTTGACAGTTGATAGCATTGTTTGTCACACAATTAGTTTTTTTGCAATGTTTTGCTATGCACTGGTTAATTGGGCATAATAAAAGCGTGAGTCATGGCGTAACGTTATGTAAACATATTTGGTCCAATTTGGAGCTCTGTTTGGTATTGTTACGCAGTTAGCTATTGGTTGTTAATCAAACTATTGACCAGTCATAATTTAGAACAAGAATTTGCTTTCTTTACAGCAGTAAGTAGTGGGATTAGCTCTAATCAAATGAAACACTGCAAGGAGTATGATTGAGAATCAAAATAAGACAATACATGCTGCCATCTTTGATTTTCAGCACAATGTTATCATGAAGTCCAACATGACTGAACATTCAATTCATCACAAGAGATTTCTAAACAAGGCATCTTTTCTTTACCTTCTGGTTGGTGTTGGTGGTCGAATGGTTTATTATATAAGAGTTTGATGATCATAAGGTCTGTCATTGAATCAAGTGGTGTGGTTTTGATTCCCTGCTTCTATGTGACAAAGAGTAGGATCGACCGTCCAATCTCATGAGTTTTCTGGTTTCCTCCAAAAGCAAAAAAAAACACTACGCGCAAACGAATTATTGAAATAAAATTATCCATATGTTAGTCCCAAAATGAACCCATTTCTCTCTTTCTTACAATTTGTAGACGGTTACAAACAGTAACAAAATTCAAACTATTTTATATATTAATAATTTATTGCCAGATTACCTGCCATAACAATTATTTAAATATAAAACAAAACAAAAAAAAATAACATATTGTTGTTTCCATTAAACTTACGAATTAATATAATTTGAAAGTTGGCACAAATCACAAATCCATGGTTTCTTTTCAATTTGAAATCACTGGTATTTAATTTATTTCTATTAAAAATTTATCATAGTCTACCTCTTACACAATTTAATTCCATCAAAAATAAAAAACACTAAAATATATTTGCTATTTTCATTTATCTTTGAATTAATTTGAAATATTATTAAAAATAATTTAAAAGTCTGCATATATAATAAATTCATCCGTTCTCTTCAATTCAACACATTTTATTCATGCAGCAATAAAATTCAAATTCAATTCATTTTTACTTAAAAAACAAAATTTCCAGGGTATCGGTGTCATAATAATTAATTAAATGAAAAATAAAGCAAAATAATATATTTGCACATTAACTTATTCTTATGAATTATTTAGAAATAATATTAAAACTAATTTAAAAAGCAGCATATATCATAAATCCATGTTTTCTCTTCAATTCGATGAATGAAATAAGAATTTCATTTTGCGTCCAATTTTACTGTTTTGTCGGTCGCTGGGTCCAAAAATATTTTCCCCTCCATATTGCTGTAATTTTTGCAATCTTTGATGGCTGAATTAGGCACCTGTAATGATATAATATCTTGTTTCAATTCATCATTGTAACAGAAATAGTCCTGCAGTTCAAAACTGCAGATATACAAAATCATTCAAATTGGTATTCGTGGTTAAAATTAGAACAAATAAGAATTTGTGGTAAATTATATGAGTGCTTTGTTGTGAAAATTAAAACAAATTTGAATTTTTGGTAAATTAAAATCTTATTGTAAATTAAAACGAATTAGAACAAATTATAATTTTTATGTCAAGTTACAACAAATTAGAATTATTTGTAAATTAGAATTTTATGAATGTGAACTTGGAATATGCTATAATAATAAATGTTTTAACCTTATGAAGTTTAGTATATTGGGGATGATGATGTTCATACACAGGATTATTACTGGCTCGATTATATGCTGGTATAAACACCCATCTTCTTAAATCACTGAGGTTGGGGGCACTGGTATGTAATAAATTACAATGGAAAAATAAGGCATCACCTGAAAAATGAAACAAAATCATGAACATTTATTTTTTCTAGTCAGATAATTTCAAACTCATTGTTGATCTAAATAATAAGAGTACATACCGGCATCTAATTCCACATATTTGTGGGGACACACCTTCTTTATTTCATTAACTCTTTCCATATCGGCACCTGTTTGTCCAGCTACCATTAGATGTTCAATACGACCACACTTATGTGATCCTTCCAAAATCTGAATTCACATAAAAATATGTTATCTATACAAACATGTATGTGCAAGCTAAAAAAAAAACCACACAAAGTATGATCTGGGAAAAACAAAGAAACTTCAAACTGGCCTCTCAACCAAAATGTTTATGGAGAGAGAGAGAGAGAGAGAGAGAGAGATATGGGTTTAACGCCCACTCAACACAAACTAGGTCATTTTGAGATCAACATATGGACCCGGAGAAAACCCAACACATTGCACATTTGACCCTACTCCTTGTCACGTAAAAGTAGGGAATTGAAACCACCCCACTTGACTCAATGACAGACCTTATGATCCAACAAACATTCTGCCGCCCCGTTTAAGGTTTGTAGCCACAAAACAATGTAAATAACGTGTATTGATGTAAAATTAACATTTCTGACAAATCCAGCGTCTAAAGGTTGGTGGATTTTTCTTCTGAAGTTCAATATGATGTCGAGAATATCACTAAAGCACAATATCCATCCCATTCACCTTGTAAGTTTATGATAAAATAAACTTGAAAGAATCAACCTACATGTACCAACCCAGTTTCGTGGGCTGTTCATTGGACAGAAGTGTTGAAATTTTGTGTTGGCCCTAAACTATGATAGTAAGAAGATACCATCGTGAGACTCACAGGGATGAAATATTCATATAAACATGAAAATAACTGAAAGACAAAGAACTCTAAATTGTCCAATTCATTAAATCATAGAAATGTAGTATACCTCTAAACAGCCATTTTCTTTTTTACAATTATCAATGGGCAAAAAAACACTCATCATGTCAGGAAACAAATTACCATTCTTGTACCAATATCTTAGAAAAATATAAGTTGGCAGGCAATTAAAAATATGCCTACCAGCAGCCAAGTCTCCCTAACAGTCATGAGCTAAACAATTTCAAAAAGATTGAATCATAAATGAAGCTTCTAAGCAGGCCTGGAAATAACAGTTTCAGATGTACCGGACAAAATGTCAGGCACTAATGAAATAGTACCTGACATTTTCGACTAAGTGCCGGACATGTATTAATAATATCAATAAAAAAAAGACAAATTAGTGCCGGACAAAATGACAGGCACCAGAGGTTCTGTGCCTGGCAAAGCCTGAATCTGTGCCTGACATTCTCTGTGACAGGTGCCTTATTTCCAGGCTTGCCTCTAAGGTGAATAATTCTCAAAAGTTGTTATTAAAATCTGACAATTAAGAAATCTTTTTTCAACAGGATGAACAACTGATGTGGTGTATCTGTTTATCAAATAAATAATTCCAAATATTGTGATTCCCGGACTTTTTATACAATTTCAGTATTGAATTTTAAACAAATCCTTTTCTTTCTGATTTAACAGTAAAAAAAAAACCTGTTCCAAAAAGGCTGTTTAAATATTATTTTCCAAAATAAAACTTGGGTAGTCTAAAGAAGATATTAATTCGTATATGCAAGTCTTTCTTTAGATGTGCAAAGTGGTTCAATTCATTTTTGAGTATAATCCACATTTTATAATTTGTCAAATTTTAATATTCAACATTCAGAATATTGCCCTTGGAGATACATTCCCTCGAAAGTATTTATTGAGTAATTATTTCCAATAAAAGTATGGGAAGTTTAATATATAATATATGCAAAATAGAGATGCCTAATCTAACCAGAAAAATACTGGATTCCCTGAAAAACACTCATGGGGCAAGCACTGGGCAAAAATGTCAGAGTATAACTAACGGCTTATTGTCTGCCAGCTTGACTTAGGAAGCCTAATCTTTGTTGCCACTTAATTCAACGATAGACCTTTATGTTCTAAAGTATCTACGTTAAACCATGCAAAGACCCTATATTATAATTTGATCAATAACAGGTTACAAAACTTATGTAATTTTGTGTGATCAAAGAGTTGTGAGAATTTGAAAATTTTACAGCATCTCTTTATTTTGCATTTTAATTGATTTTCTCAATAAAATAATTGGCTCACCCATAGTCTTGATGCCAAACATGGCGTCCTCCAGTTTTAGGATTTTTCATCATAAGTTTTGTGTGATAATGGTACACCTCTCCACCAAGTATCTACAATTTGAATACAGATTGCCAGGTAATAAAACATACACCCTTCAACAGCTACAGCACCCAAGATAAAGTATAAATGGTTTTAAGTTTAATGTCCTAAACTGCTTTAAATCAATATTTGTAATTAATTTCCTAATGCTTTCAATTTAAGGGCAACACAAATTTTCTTGAGTGTTTTGTAATCCAAAGAGTTACTATTAGTATCTAAATTCATGATCTGGCAATAGTGAGGACAATAAGAGTGTCAACAAGGTTTTATAAATCAAGCGGAATAAACTGAGAGTAATTGTTAGAAATCATTCAGTGTCATTTGGATTTTTTTTCTTAAAATTTCAAAAAGATTTTGCAGACTGAGTGGATCAACTTCAAGAGCAATAGTCCAATATCATTAAAAAAATAAAGTTTTTTTTTTTCCTTTAAATTAAACAAACAACGGACCACAGAATAAAAAAGATCCTACGCTAATTGTGGTCTCTCGCATGTGAATGGACATAGACCGGAACGGACAGGGTCACAACAAATTACAACATCACAATGTCCTTATAGAGTAAAATATGAACAACTAAATTAATGTGGCATATGCCATTACACCCTAAAATAAGAAAATTCTTTGCAGTAAGACATATCTAGTAAGTTAATAGCAATGTTAGTTTCCATCAGAATCAACCGTTTATATACTACACAATTAAATACCTATTATTGGTACTCAATGAAAGCTGTCTTAAAATGAATCGAAACAGATACAGCAGAGACAAAGTCTCATTCAAAAATATTTTTAATTCTGATTAAACCCTTTAACCGTGACCGTCTGGTAGTGCCCACAAATATAAGCCGTAGAAAAGAAAAATTTTCAGCCACCTGGTGGTCAAAGGGTAAAGATGATTTTTCATGCACCTCATTAGATATCGGTTTATATCAATGTTGAATATATCACCTTTTCACACGTGCCAGCCATTTTCTCAGTTCTAACTAACATTCCTGTCACATCGTCTCCAGGATGACTCCATAAAGCCAATCTGCTAAACCCATTCTCTCCATCTGATACCTGCATCAACAAAAATCAAAAGCATCCAACAATTGCTATAAATTATGCTGGTGATCTTCATATGTTATGTCTTAGAATGTGAATATATTAGACTTTATATCTATCATCTATCATATTTCTCGTACTTAGGAAATATTTGGCTCATATGGTTACATTAATTTGAAATTACTGAACCTAAGTATGTGCCTTCAATTTTAAAATAGCTCAAAGTTATTTCCCTTGCCTGGAAAATAAACTTTAAACAATGTTTAGGACAAGTAGAACAACTATTAGTGGCTTTAATGTTGTCCATACGTTTGTCATATGATTTCTCAGTTAATTATTGCCTGTTGTATGCTCTTCCTGCAATAGTCTATTAGGAGTACATCTGATGGCCAATTTTGCAGCCACTCTCTTCCCTCTCCCGAATTCTAGCATTAAAATTGTCCACAAAACTAACAATCTGACTTTGCCACTTCTTGAGCAACACTGCATTCTGAAATCTGTGATTGCCCCAATCTATTTTAGTTGACCTGACCAATCCATAATCTGCTAAATCTAATTTTAAAATTTTTGAAATATTGCTTTAAGTTTGAACAATAAAGGTTTTAGTATGCAATTCCTTACCCCATAAGCACTTTTTGTCATGTCATTTTCGGCTTCTACAACTTTCTTTATCTGATTTAACTCCTCTTCATTCAACAGACCTCTAAAAAAAAACCCAACACATACATTTCATATTACCGGTATATATTCTTTAAGGGTTATGAAATATGTACCATAGCTTTAAAGGGTCTTAATATCATGGCTTTCTTTATTCATTTCAATTTTCAAGGAATAAAACTAACAGATGAACAGAAATTTTGGAGAGGTCTGAAGCCATTTCATCACCAATGTAAAATTACATTACCATTATTTTCAAAATGTTAGCATTACAATTACTTGGGCATTTTTACCATCAATTACCATTATTAACCATTAATTTATGACTACCAGTATATCATTTTCACCATGAAGGAGCTGTGTTGGCCCAGTGCATAACATAGTGAGTCGCTAACGGTAACCTGGAGTTTCGAAGCCAGTATTGGCCATGAAGTTCTTCTGGATTTTTCGACGTTGTTCCCACTTGTTAGTTGTGCAGGGCAAAAAAAAACAAGGCCCTATATACACATTGGTGTGCTCTTAAAAGAACCCTTGACAGTTGGATTACGAATAAAAGTAGGCTGTAGTGCCACTGTCCGGGCAAAGTTTCGCTCATAGCACACTTTATGGCTTACATGTATGCCTGTCTTCCTTAGCCCAGTTGGCCTAGAACAGTATGACCTTAAACCCCATCAAAATTTCATTTCATATTTTACCATGAAGCATTCAACTCCTTTCTTTTTATCAGTACAATCTTTATTGTATGAAACAGCTGGTCATATTACCAACAAGATCATTATTTTCAAAGAATATGACATTTTTTAGCTTTATCGATAAAATTATAAATTTTTCATGTTATGCAGTTATTTCATGTGATGAAAATATTGTCAATATTTTGCACCACAAATTCTACAATTTGCCACTTACTTTACTATAAAATATCCACCTTCTTCATAATCTTTTTTAACATCATCATTGACATCAAAATCTTCACTAAACTTATATACTACAATAAATAAAACAAGATTAATGATGCATTATGCAGAGCTAAATTTGCCTATTGCAGGTCTTTTTTTCTGGCTTTAATGTTATATACATGTAAACTTTTATTTTGATATTTATTCACACAACAAGCCTATAACCAGGATTAAAATAAATTTGAACACCTGTAAGATCTAAAAATTTAAAGATAAAATGGATATTTGAGAAACTGTCTTGGTTGTCAAGTACCACTGCTACGATAATAAACGATATATCTACATCTTCAAACAGCCATAACTTTGCCTTGTATAAAAGTAACTGGAATAAATAGTCTCAAGGATAGTTCCAGTCTTTAGTTATTATCGAAGATTTACACTGCTACAGTATTACCATATGGATGTACCAGTTTATTTATTTATAAGTCTTGTACTTTAAATGTGATAACCTTTTTTTAATGCAGTAGATTTTCTAAAACAAAGAAATCAAATGGGGTTCAACGTCCTACTGTTCTTTTTCTAACAAAGGTGATACACAAATGTTACATTTGGAAGTTGAAACAGTGCCATCTGTTACCATAATGAGAGTTAGATAGTTAGAATTTGTGGTTATCACAATGTCTTGTAAACCTTGTAAAGCTTTGAAATGTCAAAGTGTTTATGAAACTTAACAGACTACAATCTACTTTAATATAAAACATGTGACAATAAATTGCAAGTACTATGGAAGTAGGACAAAATACATTTATTGTAACTGCAATATTTTGATAATAAGTCATACAAATTAGTATTTTCACATGTGTAAATAGTCAATTTACTATGTCAGGAAGAAATTATATGAATTAAAGTAAGCATATCAATATTACCATTAAAGTATTACCAAGCTGAGAGATAGAATGGAAAGATAACCCTGCGAAGCGAATCGCATCCTTAAATGAGGAGATTTGGGTGGCCGATTGGTTTAATGTATGCAGCACCTTAGATCATAAGCTCTGTCATTGGGTTAAGTGGCATGGTTTCGATTCCCTGCTTGTACGTGACAACCTTGTGGATTTTCTCTGGTTTCCCCATTCTGAATACAGAGAACTATCTGATTTTGATTTCCTATGTGTACGTGACAAGGAGTAGTGTCACATGTCCAACTTCATGGGAATTCTCTGGGCCTTTTGATTTCCTCCCACAGCTAAAGACCCATAAATGCAAGCAAATTATTGGAATAAAGCTGAATGATATGGTAGTACCAAGATGACCTAGTGGCTAGTTTGCGCTGAGTGGACGTTATACATCATTTCTCTTTCTCTCTCCTCCTTATATGACTCAATATAAAACTATCTCTGTCACCAGTTCCATAGAGTTATCTGTCCTGTATCATGTTCACTATCTATATCAAAATGTGACAGGAAAGATAACTCCTCTAAGTCACATTCTCAATTTGCAATCCTTATGCAGGACTTGCTTTTGTTGTACCGAGGGGGGATTGGATGGCCGACTGGTTAGCGTATGCGGATTGTATCATAAGGTCTGTCATGAGTCAACTGACGTGGTTTCGATTCCCAGTTGTACGTGATAAGGAGTAGGGTCGCCTGTCCAACCTCGTAAATTTTCTCCGGGTCCTCCAGTTTCCTCCCACAGCTAAAGATCCCCAAGCACAAGCGAATTATGACCTGGTTTGTGTCAAGTGGACATTAAACCCCCTTTCTTTCTCCGGCTTTTGTACCGGAAAAACAGGGAACTACAATTTTAAATATAATAACTCTTCTAAATCTACTGATAAGAGTATATCATAGACCATTATATTCTACATTACTATGAAATCCATAACAACGATATTTTTGCATTATTTTATTGAAAATCTATAAGAGATCTCTTCATAATTGATAGCCTTAGAGTAAATGATAAAAGTATTATATCCATGAACCCAGGAGATTAAATGTATAAATTATTTATTAGTTATATTTTCTGTCAACATAAAACTTGTTGGGTGTTAACACAACATATATACATGTAGGGTAACCTTGTTCTCAATTTCTGGGTACACTGCATTTGCTTTACATTGACTAATACATGTATCCTATTTCTTAGTGGTCTGTTCACTGGTGTGACACTGTTCCTTGAGTCATCTGTTCATCCCTCCAAAGTCCAAACTTATGACCTATGAAAGTATGATATTACTAATGATCAGTAAAAATAAAGTTATTGACTTAAATTGGCTAATTTTGAAATAAATTGAATTAGTTATATAATAATTTTTCCAGATCCTAGTGTAGTAAGGCAAGTAAAATGAAATATTGAACTATAAAAAATGAAATGAATTAGGAGCTGTGTTTTGATCCGATTGATAATGGCAGTTACATGTACATTAAAATAGTCAACAACAAAAAAAGTCCCTTGGATTTGGAATAAATCGCTTAAACCTTAACCGGTCGACGTCATTTTGACGTTATGACGTGAAATATTTTGTATGCCTATTTCAATCGACTACTGCCAAATAATTATAAGTGATAGACTCTCGACACCAATAAAAAAGTTGCTGGGGATAAGTTGATCTATAATTTGCAAATCATTCTAAATCCTTTTCATCAGAAATATCGTCTTCAGAATCGGTGTAATCGATATAATCCGATTCGGAATAATTCATAATTATTTCAACCACTTCCAGCGTCTTTAACATTCCCGACACCGTTAAATTACGTTTTTCGTCAAAAAATGTTGAACAAAGACATGGTTTCCTCAATGCCCTTGACAAGACAAATTCCTGTCTGACACGCATGCGTGGCCATATCAATCAAATACGAAACTAAATACTCAAATGCGGCTTATAAAAAAGGTACTTGCTGTGGTCGACTTTAGTCGACCTTGACCACTTAGCTGTATAACGTCGTGGTGACTATAGTCGACAATGACCGGTTAAGGGTTAAAGATGCATTATGTAAGATTTGTGTAACAGAGATGGCTGTTCTTGCTAGTTCAAAAACAGATAATTAAAAATGAATATATTGAAGATTTCAGTCAAATACTTTATTCTGTGTATTTGAAGTTTTGATAAAATGTAGTGTAGATTGATTTATTTGTTGTTTATTAAACCCTTAGATGTAAATGGCCGATCTGTACTAATTTACTTAAAATCCAATGGTCTATATCTAGAGAGTTGATAAAGGGCTTCTTGTGTTAATAAATGTGTGATGGCATGACAAAAACCCTTCACATGGTGAAAATGTTAAAAAATCACAAATTAGGGATCAAAATAATCGATAAATTGTCAAAATCGGTTGATAACTTTTGGAGATATTTATCAAGATAACAACACATTCTCAAGAAAAATGTAACTGGAGAAAATGCAGTTTAATTATTTTACAATGTTGATATTTCACGGTTTCTGAGCAGCTTATAGTTTTAATTTGTATGCATTTTCACATTATAAGTTTATTTCATATACAATAAGAATACAATATTTATCTTTGTGCTAAAAATTATTTACATCATTTTAGGTGTTTTAGATACTGTTTCTTTTTTATCGTTTAAATAATAATTTACATAACATTTGAAGCGAGAAAAAAACATGCAATAGGCAGATTTAGTTTTTCCATAATGGATCTATAACAAATGGTTGTGTAAATGTAACCATATTCAAGGCATACCACGAACCAATGAATACATTGAATAATGTCTCTTGAATGATTCACGAACGCTATTTTTGTTTCAGATTTTTATTTTCAATCTTTAACTTCGTCTTTTACTGTTTTCATATCTTACATTGTTTACATTATTTTACAAATGTATGCTGCCTCTTGTAGACTTTTTGACACAATAAAATAAATTATCTTATCTTTTAAGGATTGTAATGGTCATGAAAATTGTTTAGTTGAAGTTCATTATCTAGGATGATATTGTATGCCTAGGTCCCACTGGGCATTTTTTGCCTCAGGAATGTACTACCGATGGAAATTAATGAGATTCGGGACTGTCGCGAGCCATGCAGGACCATCGGGAGAAAATTTGTTGATTTCCACATCACTAATGATTTTCCCCAGTAGCACCTAGGCAATAGTCTTAGTTCCATTTTTATTATTCTATCTAACCTGATGTTTATTTTATTCTGGTACATGTATATTAACTATTTATGCTAAATATCCATACTTTTTAGTTTATGGCAGTTTTAAGCTTCAATATATAAAACAGTCAACACTTTCGATAACCTTGGTAATTGTAAAAAAAACATTTTGGTAAGCAACTAATGTAATCTTACTTTGCAAAATTGTCAGGGTATCACTAACTGGCAACCCGGCGGCTTATTGTCTGCGAGCTTGACCTAAGGAACGGCTGTTATTTCTTGATCAAATGGTTAGGCAGTTTTGGGAAGAACACTGAGGGTTTTATTAGTACCACAGACTCTGCAATTAAACTGCGGAAAAAGAAGTTGACAGAAGGTCCAAGAATTTACTTAGGCTTCAAAATGTATGGCAAATGGACAGTAAGTACATTCTGAGTACATTCTGAAAATGGACCCTCCCTCAATTAGTTGCATGACAAAAATGGCTTCTAAAAATAGATTTTTTTTATATCTTGGGGTATTTCGTCGTGAATACAAATTTTTAAGAAGGATTGAAGCAAATTTTTGACAGATTAATCAGTTTGATTCTTGAATATTTTTTTATTCCAAATATATCATCAAATCATCCAGTTTTGTATGTGGGAAGGCATCTTTAAGGTTACATGGACTGAAAACAATAATACATTGCTACCAGTCTGCTACTTAAATTATTAAATAATTAGGATGGATGCAACAAATTATTGATAAAAAGAAACAGCCTTGAACTTTATACTATTACATTGATCATGGGTCATTATATGGGTACATCCAATAAGTGTGTTGTATAGATCAGGTATCATTTTTGCCACAAAGATAATTTAATAATTTAATTTAAAAATGGATAGTTGAGACTTTATTTATTATTATAACAATGGTAGCAATGAAAGTCAAGACTGTCCTATTCTTATCAAAACTTCCAACATTAATAACTTAGCTCAGAATAATTTGACAAATTTTCAAAATATTCCTTTATTTTTTATCTATTTTTAAACTATTACAGCTAGAACTGTCAGCTCTTCCTCTAAATCTTATGTAGGCCTAATCCATCTTTAATGTACCCTAAAATGTACTCAGATTCATTATTTAACATTTACATTTAATCAAACAATCGCGTGGTTGGATGGTGTGGTTTCGAAACTGGTGTGGTTTCGAATCGCCGGTTGTACGTGACAAGGAGTAGGGTCGCCTGTCCAACCTCCTTGTTTTATTGAAATAAAATTGAACCATGTGTTAGTCACAAAATGACCTAGTTTGTGTTGAGTGGATGTTAAACCCCAATTCTCTCTTTCTTTAATCGAACAATCAAATCTCCTCATTTGTATTCAATCCGATTCAAATGAGACTTGCCAAAAGATTTTGCCCAATATTTTTTGCAGGAAGTTGGTATATATGACAGAAGTGGAAAAAGGGTAATAACAAAAAAACAACTCCTCTATAGTTAAATCAAGGGCACATATTTGCAGTTTTGTCATCTGAACACAATGCTTGTCATTGATCTGAGCATTATATTTTTGCAATGACAATTATTGCATTGACTGTACTCTAGCAGAAAATTATATTTTATGGTTTCTGAAATATTATGTATTTTGGTTGGGTTAAATTGCATTGTTTTTGTTTCTTAAAAAAAGACAAATATTTTATTGCATCCAATTCCAATTCGCATAACCTTCCCATAAAATTCAATGAAATTGACAATCTCATTTTTGTCCTAAATCAAAGAATTCTGGTATATTAAATTATTAATCTGTATTCATAGCCAATGCTATCCATTTACTTTTCACTCATGTCATATAATATAAAACCATGGACCTTATATATGGACCTATAATCCATAATAAAACATCGGCTTTTGACAGTAATTACATAAACAGTCGAAATATCCGAATGCAATTATAGTATAAAAGGAAAATTAAACTTGTTTCATGACAGACGTCAAATGATATACATCACGTTTTGAAATGGTTGGTGCATCTTTCAATTTTAACCATACTTATAGTCAGAAGATTGAATTTACGTGGTTTATACCAGTTACAAAATAAGCTGTTCTTACCTCTTGACGCCATTTTCAATCGGTAGTGACGAGTTGAATATTCCACACTGTTTCATTCGGCAAACCTCGGCTGATTCTACGAAGCTAGATGTATAGCTCTATGGGTGTACGGTACCGGAAACCACGGAGGTTTGCCGAATGACACTGTTTTGTACCGGAAGAAGCCGAAACTGACCGCACCTAGCTCGTTATATTTTACCGAAACCAGAACAGTACCGCCCTAACCAAATGCTACAAATACAGCGAAATTTGGCATACAAATTAACGAAAGTATTATTTGCTTCAATCTGAAATCGGAATACACTCAAAAACAATAGCTTGGCTCTAAACTGCTGATTTTCTTGGAGTCAATCCATACTCTGATTCTGACCCTTCAAATTTTACAAAAAAGATAATAAGTTTTATGTGCACTTGAATTATCATACCACGTTTATCTTTTTTTATCTATAAACCAGTACCTTCGAACGAGACAGAGAACCACATTATATGAATTAAAAGTGGAGGGGCTGGCAAAATTGTTCTTTTCGGGCGAAATATTTAGAGCACACACACACTGAAGGACCTTGTACGCCTCAATTTAAATAATAAGATTTAAAACGTGTCAATGATACGGTTCGTATGCGATTGATTATTATCATGTTAATGTATGGGTTATATTCTGTGGTGAATATATTACTAGGTCCTTGCACATAGTTGTAGCCCTTAGAGCGTCCACAAGGGCCAGAACTCTGGCAGTAATTATCGGAAATTGTTGAAAATCAACAGGATTCTGTGTCTCATAACTTTACACACAGTGTATAGATTTACAGTCTATCGGATAGTAACTTTAGCCTCTTGAGCGTCCACACGGACCATAACTCCAGCAGTAATTACTGGAAATTGTTGAAAATCAATAGAATTCTTCATCTCATGACCTTAAACTAAAGTCAATCGGATATTAACTTTAGCCTCTTGAGCGTCCAAAATAATTTCAAAGTCATCAAGTGTCATTAATTATCGGAAATTGTTGAAAATCAGTAGGCTTCTTCGTCTCATGGATTTAAACAATGTGTATAAATTTAAAGTCAATCCGATATTAACTTTAGCCCCTAAAGCCTCAACAAGCAATTTTCCACAAGCAATTGTGGGCGCCCTATCGACGTACGGACGTGCAGACGGCAATATACGACCGCATTTCAATGTGGGCGTATAACAATTATTTGCATCTTTTTGGGGTAATCAGCTCTACAGTGGTGTGGGGTATGTCGCCCAGGTATAGGCGCTATGCTCCGAACAGCAGTGGGCTATTTGCCCCGCTCCCACCACTCGCACAAGTTTTAAAATGGTCGATGTTCATGGACGTTAGATAAACAAGGCTTGCACCAAATGAAGCATTAAATACTGGTGTTATTATCGATATAAATTTGATTTCTATATCTTTCATAGCTACCCAGCTACACTCGATGACTCCCATCTACAAATTAACAAAAAGTGACCGAAAAATTTGTAAGTCACACAGAATACATACATATTTGTCTACAACTTCAATATTTCGGAGCACACGCGCCGACATTAAAACCCTACTATGTCTGTCATAAAACGTGACTCTCTATAACTGCCAATCATATCCGAGATTTTCCTGGTGGGTCCCCACCGTGCATAGGCACTTTATGTTACCCTACTCATCTCATTTACCGCTGTTTACTCCGACACCTTTAGATTCGTCTTCTGCAATGAACTCATATAGAATAAACAACCATTTATATTCCTGTCTTCAGGAGTAGGCGTCTAGAGTAGGTAGACTATATTCCCACAGATATTTCTTATTCACCGTAAGGCGTAAGGATATCACTCTGGGATAGAACAATTTCCAAAAAATTAGAGTTTATAATTGTTTAAATCTTCTACGTCTTATCATTATCTATCTTCATTAGCTGAGTAGGACGTTAAACCCCATTTCTTTTTATTTCATTTTTTATCATTATTATCATGTACCGGATGCTAGAAATGGGTTTGCTAACTTCATGAATGCACGATTAGATCCGGAAGTTTCAACTCGGCTGTAAATGTTTAGTAAACTGTGTTAATCAACATAGGAAACGACTTAGCCACTTAGAAGATTAAAAAGGGTATACTAAGCTTGACAAAGGTGTAAATTATGTATTTGTATGATCAATGTAAACAACAATTTAGTTGATAATTTCATTAGTCACTTATAGACTAGATAACCTGGCCTATGTAGAAAGTTTATCCAGACTCTTGAGCTACTTACGGTCAAGACAAACGAAATGAAATGAAATGGGGTTTAACGTCCTACTGTTCTGCTCCTAACCTGGGCTAATGAAGACGGGCATACGCCATAACGTGTGCTATGAGGGAAATTTTGCCCGGGCAGCGGCGCTACGGCCTACTCTTATATCGAATTCCAACTGCCAAGGGATCTTTTACGTGTTCACCAAACGGGACCTCCGTTTTTCGTCCCATCCGCGTCAAGACAAACTGTTTCATCATATAATATAGGGTGACCCGTGCACCGTGCAGAAAGTTGGTCTCGACACGGCGAATATATGTGACAGTCAATGTCTACAATCAGGCAATTTGTACAATGCCTGAAATATACCAGTCAATGTGTACATTGCGGGGTTAGGGTAAGGGTGGGGGTTAGGGTTAGGGTTACAAAGGTATTGTACACATTGCCTGATTGTAGACATTGACTGTAACATATACACGCTTCAGTCGCTTAATTATCTTGAAGTGATTTCTCGCATACACTATACGCACTATGATAACACCCAGAGCTCGAGTCTATGATACTATAAATAGCCATCGCACGTGCAATGCTCTACACATCTATCAACTATTACAGCCGTAAAAAATCTATTGTTGACGATTGTGAATAGCATAAACCCTATTTATTTCCAGTAGAGCTACCCCTCCCCCCTTTTCTGAAAGAAAATTGTGAGCGTGATAGAGGCTGTAGTTTTTAACGGATTTCTTTCAAATTTGGCGTGAAGTATTATTATTCCGTTCCTGAGTCAATTCTCCATTGCAGTTTTTCACCAGATTTTTGTAGGGTGAGATTTAGAGCCCTAGCGATATTCAGCGTTCCGCAACATTCCCTTTCGGAGTTATGCCCATATTTCCGAAAAACGAGCTTCTTATTTGGCCCCACTTGCAATTTTCCCATGAAACACTTGTCTGCGATATCACCCAGTTGAAAGCAGACGTAAAGTCTCAAGGAAGAAGAAGAAAATGGATGGGAGCCGCGGTGGCTCAGTGAATCGATAACCTGGGGGTCCCGTGTTCGATCCCGGTGTTGGCCGAGAAAGTTCATCGGGATTACCCGTAGCACCCCCCCCCCCCCCTGTCAGTGGTGCAGGCCAGAGGGCCTGGCAAGGGACAGTGTATACCAGAGGGCATGGCAAAGAACAACGTATGGAATTCGTCACAACTGTAAGCCGTAACGCCGCTGTCCGGGCACAATTTCCCTCATAGCCCACTGTATGACACATGCCCGTCTTCATTAACCCTGTCGGAGCAGAACAATAGGCCGTTAAACCCCATTTCATTATTTTTTTTAAATATTCTGAAATATTCTAATATTCTGAAAATATTTTTCAAGTTGTTTAAGAAATAAGTGAAGAATTTTATAGTAGACTTAGCAGGATACCCGGTTTCGCCTTGTTCGCCCGGGCCAAAGTTCTGCGATCTTTCTTCAGCCACCCTAAAAAAAAAAAAGTCGTTTACAGCTGATATGACGTCATTATTACTAGGAAAATGGCTGAATTTTGGATTCTGGTTACGAATCTGGCCAAACATTTATCGGGATCTTCTTCAAAACGGCACAGATTGTCACGGAACGACAGGAATCTGACACGTAAAGAACTTTGGCACGCATCTTGCAGAAACTATTTTCATTCCTAACTCGTTGGCGATAATGTGCTCAAACCACTCATGAGAGATGCCAACAACATTGGCAATATGTCGAGTGGTCAATCATGTCATGCACCCGATAAATGTTTCTGAAATGGTTGTTGTAGATGGCCCATCAAGACTCTCTCTGCTATGCTTAAATTCCACAGCCCATTTCGTTATCCCCTAAAGTGAAGACCATGTCGGCATGTATCTGTGCTGGGGTTAGTCCTTTCAGTTGCTTGTACTTGATGACTAACCTATAGCCATTTTTGTCTATTTCTGGTGATTTCAATAGGTAGGTTAATAGAATGGGCTGGTACGAAGACAGTAATTACACAACAGATAGACTATTCTAACTTAGCCAAATAAGTCCGTCCGATATATTCGCCTTGATTGTAAATGCACTGAGGTGCTTTGATCATTTCTCATCTATATCGCCTGCAGAGGAAGCCGAATGTTGATAAATTTTCAATTGATCATACCTTTGTAAATACTAAATTGTTTCAATTGAACTGGAGTATACAGGTCACAATTCTATGGAGTACAATTACTGCTTATTACTGAGCAACGTTTCGATTAGGCTTCTCTAGTCATTATCAAGCAACAATTGAATGTAAATCCGTTTATATACATTCATATTACATTAAGATATGCGTTGCTACCCATTTATGTCCATTTCTATAACTAATTTTACAACGAAAAGAGAGGGGAAAAAAAGATCATAAAAAGGATGAAGTCTTTAGATATCAATTCAATATCAGATTAGCAGTTACAGCATGTTTATTCTCAAAATTAAATTTGAAATCTTTATTTATGGGTAAATGATTTTCTTGTTCTAAGTTGTTCGGCCTTTTTCTTTTCTGATACAATGATCTACACGGCTAGAGCATTATTTTGTCGACAATATCACTTAAATGCTTCCTTGGAAGCGGACGTTCATCAATAAAGCTACATGTATTTCAGCATAGATCATTATCCATAACGTTAAAAAGTATTAATTTATTGTTTTATCTTAAATGTCATGAATAATCATATTTTTCAGTGTTGTCAGTTAATTTGAATGGGGACACCGCCACCAACATTAGAAACTTACAAAGAACCAGGAAGCATGCCAGATCTAAGAACGATAGATTGGGATGAAGAGGAGGGAAAAAGGTTTGCCACATATAGTCCGATTGAACTCTGTTGCAATGCTGTTACGAGTATTTATAATTTCAGCTTTTGTATATATCCCTCTAATGGCATCTAATAATCACCAGATCCAAAGTAAAGTAATATAAAAAGAACCTCTTGTTTTAACTCGTCGTCATACTGGCGAATCGAAGGACAAGAAGGGTCAAATACAGAACCCCAATGAACGCCTACAATTACAGATTTGTATGTTAGTTAGTAACCTAAGAAATGTAGAGAAGCTGAACCCGGTAGAAAATTTGTGATTTAGATATAGGATACGTCCAAGCATACTCATACCCTAAGTTTATTTTTTATATACTCAGCCAAATTAAAAACTTGACACTCGGGATTTTTGGGACTAGATTTTTAATATTTGGTTTAAGGCAACTATTTCAGTGTTATGTTGTGCACAGACGACCTTGACATCAACAGAAAGCAAGACTACGTCTCGCCGAAAGTCCTTGACATTGATAACGTTCGTGATGTCACAGTACCCCCCAAAATGAAATTCACAGATTTGGAGAACAATCGGAATAAAGTGTTTAGTAACGGTTGTGGCCACTTCTAGCGTCTCGTACTGCCACACGTCTTCTCGTGGATCTCAGAACATTAGTAAACACTACCCGAGGAAGACGTCGCCACTGCTCAGCAAGAGCATGTTGAAGGCCCTGCAACGTCAGTGGTGGATTCACTTGCTGACGAACACGTCGACCCAGTTCGTCTAAGATGTGTTCAATAGGATTAAGGTCGGTGCTAAGCGACGGCCAATCCAGGACTTGGACACCGGCATTTCTTAACAAATTCTGGGTAGCAATTGCTGTATGGGGTCGAGCATTGTCTTCTTGAAACGTTAGTCCAGACCCATGTCTCTGCATAAACGGAAGAAGAACAGGTTGCAAAATCTGATCCCTGTACTGGAAAGCATTTAAGTTACCTTGGACAACAACAAGAGGAGAACGTCCATGTGCACAAAAAGAACCCCAAACCATGACGCTGCCGACCCCAAATCGGTCAACTTCTCTGACGCATACTTGAGCGTAACGTTCACCTCGTCTGTGGTACACTCGGACCCTGCCATCGGCAAATCTCAAAGTGAATCGTGATTCGTCACTAAAGACAACCGAGTTCCACTGTCTTTGAGTAATTCTTATGTGTCTTGTGGCCCACACAAGTCGGTTACGGCGATGAAGAGGTGTCAATATTAGTCCATTATAGGGCCTCCTAGCTCCAAAACCAGCAGCCTGCAAGCGATTTCGAACAGTTTGTGCAGTTACCCTTCCACCAAACATCTCTCTACTTGTGGAGGTTGCAGTGACAAATCTGTTTCTAAGATGACGTAATCGTATTGCTTGATCGTCCTGGAGTGACGTCACACGTGGCGCTCCCGCCCTTGGGCGGTCGGCAATAGTTCCAGTTTGAAGCACTCTCATTCTAAGATTAATTGTCTGGCGTGAACAATTAAAGGCTCTTGCAACAGTGACCACAGACTGACCAGCATAGAGCCTACCTATAGCACGTAGACGTTCTACATTTGAAAGGCGCGGCATTTTCTAACAAAGATGAAAACAACAATTTTAATTTGTTTTTCCAGTTCAAGTTACGTGTGTGTGTTCAGTTTAAGCAAACTTGCATCGATTGACCTCACGAGTTTGTGTTTGCACGTGTTTTTCAGGTTTTTCATCTTTATATGCTCAAAAGTCACGTGATGCACGTGACTTTACAATTTTATGAAATTAAAGGCTTCTTACTACTTACTATCGTTAGAAACACTTTAAATATTATTTGTTTGCACGTGTTTTTCAGGTTTTTCATCTTTATATGCTCAAAAGTCACGTGATGCACGTGACTTTACAATTTTATGAAATTAAAGGCTTCTTACTACTTACTATCGTTAGAAACACTTTAAATATTATTTGAATTACCAGAAAAAATTTTTTGTTGAAATTCATCAATGTCAAGTTTTTAATTTGGCTGAGTATATGTTTGTGCACTGCTTTTTAAATAACGTCATCACCACATTGGTAGTTTTGTGTAACACTTTTTGTTAACTATTCGATGTTTGTGTATTGTTTATAAATATAAAATATCTTTACAAATGTAAAATGTATTTTTCAGGTTGTGGTCCAGACTGAAACAGTCCAAAAATGACGGGAATTTTCCAACAATATTGGATACATTATCATCGCAGGAACAGGCAGTAGCTATTTTGACAGGTGTTGATAAAGGGTATTTTAAAACTGTGATAGATCTGATAGATCATGGTTCTGATGTGCATTGTATTGATACTAAATATCGCGGTGTTTTACACTATCTATTGACTAATTACAGATTTCTTGGACAAACTAGACATGACTTGTTTTTCAAATGTCTAACTACAATAGTTGGTGCGGGTGGGAATGTGAATCATGTGGATAGCGATAAAGATGTACCTATATTAATGGCAGCAAGACATGGCTTGATAGATGTTGTGATATATCTGATAGATCATGGTGCGGATATTCACTGTGTTGATAAAAACCAGAAAAATACCTTACTCTGTCTTTTCGGTTATTTTAAAACTCAGAAAGATAGACGTTTTCTTTCTTTATTACTAGAATGTGTGATTAAGTTAGTTCAAGCTGGTATTGATGTCAACTATGCGTATGCAACGACAGATCCACCATTATTCATTGCCGCTAAAGAAGGATGGCTAGACATTATGATGTGTCTGATAGATCACGGCGCAAATATGGAGTCTGATGCTTTTTTAGAAAGGAATATTCTCCATTTGGTATTACGATCTCTGTGTTGTGGTTGTGATGAAAAATATATAGATATTGTGAAGACATTAATAAACAGGGGAATAGATGTAAATCAAGCAGATAAAAAAATGAGCAATACGCCGTTATTTGGCATGGCAAACCGTCGATCTCCACTACATAAGGAGAAGGATGAAATGGTGAAGTTAAAATATAAACTGATAAATATGTTAACTGAAGGCGGTTGTAATTTGAATCACCAGAACAGACTATTAACGACACCAATTATGTTTTTTATAAAAGAACAAGCTGATATTCGGGTCATATATTATCTGATTCTAAATGGTGCAGATATTAATCTTACTGATAAAAATAGTAATACAGCAATTAGTTACTGCGTGCAGTATCACTTTTTAGATTGTTTTAATATCTTTAAACTGTTGGTACATTTTGGATCAGATCTGATGTCAACTAAAAATGGAATTAAATTATTTCATGAAATTCTCAAGTGTAAGAGGTTAGATGTTTTCAATTATTATATTGGACGCCAGTTGATTATAATTGGTGCTACATCTGTAGGAGAAACAATGCTACATCTACTGGCTCGAGTAAATTTTGATTATTCGTCAAAAGCATTTAAATGGTTGTTTAATAGTGAACTGGATATAAACCATCGGTGCTCGAAAACAAATACACCTTCAATGATAGCTGCAATTTTATTAAACAGTAAATATTTAGAACTGTTAACACCCCATCCTAAAATAAAGATAAATGCACAGAATAACAAAGGCCATACAGCCCTCCACCTCTGTGTCATTGGATTTACAATGTTGAAAGACGGTTTGAATAAGAGACAAGTAAATGATGTTGTTCAGAAATATTGCAGACAGATATATCCAATATATATGGAGTGTGTTGATATTTTACTTGCTGCTGGTATAGATGTAAATTTACAAGATAATAGCGGAAGAACTGTTTTGATGTTTGCAGCTATGAAAAACGACAGAGTTCTGGTAAAGAAATTACTTAAGGCTGGCGCAATGGTTAACGTTTTCGATAATTTAGGAAGATCAGCTCTGCAGTATCTTGATTTTGATAAAAGTGTATTTGATCTGACATGCTTTAAACTAATTATGTCTAATGGGGATCACAAAATCCTGGATTTGCCGTGCATCAACGGTAACACAATTATTCAAACAGCTGTATGTTTTCCATTATTCTGGGAACCAATGATGGTTGTTAGTTTTATTCGATATTTGGTTGCTCAAAATTGTTGTCTCCAGACTCTTGTTACGTCCTCGGTTGAAAGTAGCTTGAAGCTTATTAGTCTGGATGAACTTAACCACCAAGTAAGAGATGACATAAGTCAGTTGTTATATCTTAGTGGGGCTCATAGGGAAGAAATTGTGACAACTCTAAATTTTGATGTGGAAGATACGCAAGAAGATCAAGATGAATCACTTTACTCGCACCACAAAAAAACTTTTAATTTATTTTGTAATAATGTATCTCTCAAATCTATATGTAGGAGAGTCATCAGACAGACGATTGGATTGATAATACACCAAGCGCATAAGAATCTAGAACTACCTCTCGAACTAAACGAATTTCTACTTTTAAAAGACGTTCTTCATTCTAAATATTACGACCTGTATTTATTTGATGGTGGCTACGATGAATATGACGACGTTGATGATTTTGATTCATATGATATAGATAAAGACAAAGATGATGATTATAGTGAATATAGTTACCAGTATTTTGCTCTCTATAATATTTATGTACTGAAAGAGAAATGCAAGAAACTAAAGAAATTTCCTAACGACCAAAGTCTGCTACCTTGGATATTGCGGCATAGGTGATTTGTTTTACAGAAGTGTAAGTTCTATTTTGTAAAAACGTGGTTGCTGCAGGTGTGATTATAAGAGTGCCTCGCAAGTCCCCATCTATGATTGCCCAATCACAGATTTCTTTCTTTAATACCGATGGGAAAATGATTAAACTGTACATCTATAATTAAAACAGTGTTTCATTTCTCAGATGCCAAAGATATGGGTAAGGAATAAGTAAATAATTTTGAAAAATATATGGGGATCGAAGGAATAAGTAAATAATTTTGAAAAGTGTATCTGAATGGCGCTTATAGTAATTTGGAAATCAGCATGCGGATACATCTAGCTTGCAGGCCAGTGACCTACATGATCCATTAAGATTGGTTTCATTTTTTTAGAAATCCCGGGGGGGGGGGGGGTTGGATGGCTGAATGGTTAGCACGTGCGCGCTGTATCATAAAGTCTGTCATTGAGTCAACTGGCGTGGTTTCGATTTCCCGGTTGTACGTGACAAGGAGTAGAGTAGCCTGTCTAACGTCGTGGGTTTTCTCCGGGTCCTCCGGTTTCCTCCCACTGCTAAAGTCCCCTACGCGCAAGCGTATTATGGAAATAAAATTGAACCATATGTTAGTCTCGAAATAACCTAGTTTGTGTCGAGTGGACGTTAAACCACAACTCTCTCTCTCTCTCTCTCTCTCTCTCTCTCTCTCTCTCTCTCTCTTGCCCAATTAGGAACAAATATAAAATTGTTGATATTTCATAATATTTTATATATTATAGTCTATGGTTGATAAAACAATTACATTTATACTGTTGGTGTTTAAGGCCGGGATTCTCCCACCTTCGCCCCAACAGAAAATGATCAAACAGTAATATAATTTTGGGTTGAATACAAGACCAAAGTTCCATTGAATGACCGAGATATTCTAATTTAGGTTTGAAATTATGAAGGCCTCGCGGAATGTGTAATATTCTTACATACATATGCCACTGTATATTTTTATTTGATGGATGAACGTATGTCTGTGTAATATGCCTCATGAAATATTTTGGCCTATGTCCCCACAATGAAGACGGGATGGGGTACTAAAGAGAATGATCAAAGATAACATATATGGAATGATCAAAACGTTCACACAGGGAATGGTCAAACATTATATCCGGGTTGAATACAAGACCAAATTTCCACTGGATGACCGAGAGATTCTAATTTAGGTTTGAAAATATGAAGGTCACACTCAAATCGCGACGGCGTTTCTGAATTGATACGATTGACTGGAGTGCTTAACTTGATTTACTTCTAAATACAGTTTTTCTTTAATAGTTACTGTTTTTCTTAAATAAGTCCATCTGGGATTCTTACGTAGAATGAAGTTTAAAACACGTATTTTTTTCGGATTTCGGTCCGAGTGTGGTGCTGCGACAACTGTGCATGGTGGCAACATCCTGGTATGGCAGATTACAAAAAAGTCATCTGATAGAATTTGCTACATCTTCCCCCTAAACAATCTGCCGGATGTCTCACCTCTCAAGAGCTTAATGCGTGTCTACCCCAGAGCTGTTTGTTGTTGTTTATTAAAGCTTTAACATAAAATATGATATTATGGACAGGTTGATTTAAAATAAATTATTTACACTTAATGGGTTGAGAATTGGTAGAAACATAAAATAACACCGTCCGTGTATATCAAAAGTCACCTTACAATTGGTAAAAACACAAAATAAAAAGTCCTTGTATTAGGGTGACCCACCATAAATAAATATCTCCATATATCTCGACAATTACGCCACAATATTTATATATATGCCAAGCCTCAAATCAGTTTCACACAATTATAGTCACTAAATAAACGTAGTTAATAAGCTATGACCATTAATCACGTATAAATAATAGACTGAAAACTGGTTCCAAGAGTCGTCCATAACATCCAGACACTTTTGAGTAAAAGATAGGTTACGTGCCCTTGTTTTGAAATTAGTCTCGCTTAATTTTACTGCTATTCAAAATCGTCAACAATAATTTTTTTACGGCTGTAATAGTTGATAGATTTGTAGAGAATTGCACGTGCCATGGCTATTTATAGTATCATACTGTCAGAAAGTTGGTCTCGGCACGGCGAATGTGCACGCTTCAGTGGTAGTCTCGAACTATCAGCGGTGGACTGTATTTCTGTGAGTACATGGGTCACCCTACTTGTATATGAAAAAGTCAATTTAAAGCACACTTATAAAATCACTGTCGCGAGAAGAGAGGGCGGGCCATCTTTCAGACACGAACGCAACATTCTAAACTAATGATTCTTGTTTCTACATTCTTATGTCAACATTTCTTGCACAAAATCAACATTTTAAACAAAAAATTGACTTTAAGTTTCATTTTTCGGCGTTTTTATATATCATTAAAATTAAAAAATAATTTCTTAATTTTACACGGCAAAGAAATCAATGCATTGGTTTCTGAAAGTATCTAAAAAAAAATCTAGAATTTGAACTCTTATGAAAATATTTTCTACGTTTCAAAACGCCTTGAAGTTAAAATCTTGAAATGAAAATGTCCAGAAAAATATAATGAATTATCAACATTATTACACCAGAGGGCGTTAGCGTATGTGTACAACTTTGATACAAACTATAGATTAGAAATCAAATAATTTCTATAATTCGAAACACGTGTAGGTCTAATTTGTAAACATATGAAAAAGTAAACAAATAACAGCGAATATGTAAGAAAGGCCTTTGTCCTAATTTTTCTAGCTGTTTAAATTATAGAAGTTATTTGTATTGTTATTATATCTCGAGCTTAATTTCTGTTTCATGCAACTCATTACTGTAAACACAACAGGGGCCCACTTCCACTCGTCGAAAAGTCTATTTTTGATTTCTAATCTATAGTCTGTATTAAAGTTGTACACATACGCTAACGCCCTCTGGTGTAATAATGTTGATAATTCATTATATTTTTCTGGACATTTTCATTTCAAGATTTTAACTTCAAGACTATTTTCAAACGTAGAAAATATTTTCATAAGAGTTCAAATTCCATATTTTTTTTAGATACTTTCAGAAACCAATGAATTGATTTCTTTGTCGTGTAAAATTAAGAAATTATTTTTTAATTTTAATATTTAATAATTGTTAATAATGGTTGTGTAGGTCCCTATTCTTTTTGTCATTATTTTTCCTAATTTATTATTATATTAAATCATACAGCAGACTGAACCGCCATACTGTCCTTCAACAATAGTCCCTTCCTTTGTAACTAGATAGGTAGTTCCCTATCTTGATGTCAATGTATTCTGATATTATTAAAGCATGCAGCTGGCTAGTGCTCTTTTTCGCGAATAACTTAACAGTTAATTCCCGATTCTGCTATGAATTTTGAGGTCGCTTCATAGATTTTGTATTACATATTCCGAGGGGGGAAGGGTATATTTTGGAGGGTATATTGAAGTTTGGCATCTTCCATTAAACCTTTTACTGGGAGTCTTTTCTCTTCCAATTTATTGCACGCAATGACGACACGATTAACGGCCAGGGTGTGGCCGCATTCGCACTTCACTGGTTTATATTTATGTTCGGTAATTAAATCTTTAGTTCTCAGTCTTGTGATTAAGTCACACATTTTGCGAGAGGGGTAATTGACCTCGGCCTTTACAACCAGATCGTTATTTAATTTGAATCTAAAGGTATTTGCCCTGGCCAACTTAGTTGAAATTCCACTCGTTATATATACCTAGACTTCTGCTATCAATTATTTAATTGGCCAACTATTACGTAATTAATTATGATGATTGGTCCTAATGACATAGAACCATCCTTTTATGGACAGCGGTAATTTTCCTATCATAAGTGATCTAGACCATAGAATTTATCCTTGGCCCTAGACCCCATGTCCTGTTATTCTCGCGATATTTTGAAAATGCAGGAGACAGATAACATATGTATTTATAAAATTATAAATCATGTCCTCTGTTGCACTTATATTCGCCTAATGTAATTATTTTGCATAAATTATCCTATATTACTACACTTACCACTGTATAAGATGACATAGTCTTTAAGGGCAAGGTAAAGTGACAGAAATTGTCACAGCACCTGAAATAGGGGGTCCTCAAAGCATTCACAACACCTTTAGTGCCTTTATTTTAATGTCTAGACGTGCTTGAGATGATACTGAACAATAAAAAATGGATGAAAATCATAAATAATGACTTTGGAATTTGTAACTTTGGAAAATATGAAGCAAATATATCATTCAGCACTGCCCAGCTACAGGGTAAACAACTCAACATGGGAAATCATAAAGTCTCACAGAGATACCTGAATATATACACTACAACCATCAAGACTTTAAATTTTGAAAACTATCTTTGTTTTAGCACACCATGTCCATATAATTAAACTTTTATTTTTCAAATATCCTCCATTTTTTTCAAGGGACTACTTTCAGACTTTTTGTATGGAGTACCATCATAAACATTATTTGGATTACATGTTTCGGGTCTGTATGGAATATTGTAAATATTTCCTTGAAACTGCTTTTGGTTTTCAACAATTTTTTTATAATGAATACACATTATTATCATTTGTATGTATTGTTTAATGGTCGAGAGCGAGACATTAAGTAATATATTGTAACAACATGAGGGCCGTAAACAACTTAAAACACAGACACTTGCACGTGCTTTGCAATGAAATACGTCACTCGAGTTCAATATTTTACGAAGTTACGCTTGGCACATTGCCCGTACGATTATTTGAAATAATGGTACTCCAACATCAAAGGATGACGTCACATCTGTATTTTAACGAATGTGGAAAGGTCCGGCTGAATGATTGATTAGAACATATGATGTGTTTCAAATGGTACTCCATAGAAATGAATTTGCCCCACAAAAATAAAATTATATCTAGGTAACAAATTCTATACCAGACCCTCAAAATGATTATTATTCCAACATAAATGAATAATAATCTATCCACAATTTAGAAACAAGCCTTTTTGCTAACATTTACCAACACTTGACAACGGCAGCCATGATAGCTTAGATTTTGACAGTTCTGTTGTCATCGATTTACAGAACGGTCCATATGAATAATTTTGATATTAAAAGATGTGACAGTTCTTGCAAATGAAGCGCAATAGTCTATAATATTACAATTTACCACCTGATGTAAGGATAATTGTGATAATATTAGTCAAAAAGTATTTACTGCATTTTCATTTACCTTTCTGTGTCGAATTACCGCTCAAAGGAAGTGTTGCTCGCATTAATGAGTTCATGCATGACTATGCATGTTATTACTAAAGGGAATACGACATAATTGTATGTGTGGTGATGTAAATGAAACCTTTGCATATCTATACAATGTTCCGCTCAACGTTGTCAGTTTAACGATTATTCGTATCACTCGTCTAAAGATA